TACTGTACTGTATGTTAGAAGTAGAATCAGCCCTGAAGCTACTTGCTTCAAAAACAGAACTATGATTAATTCAGTGCCAAATATTTATGCATCAGACAAAAAGAAATTAGTATTCTTTGCAAATTCAAACAAGACAAATTAGGTGGTAATTAAAACTCATATGCTTCATAACGTACTGATTCACTCTTTTCTGCATTCAGAGAAAACATTAGTTTCTAAGACATAAGAGGAATGCTTTTGTACCAAGAAATGTCAGAGTTTAATGTGTATAACATTGCTTATATTGTGTTCTGGACCCAGTAAGAATCACAGAATCATAGAATGATTTGGGTTGTCCACCACTGTCCACTTCTTGTTGTGATGGACAGTGGTGGACAGAAGAAAATTAACTCTACCCCTGCCAAAACCAGCACTCCACTGCACAACTGATGCTACAATATTAAGCTTCATTTGTCACTTCTTTATGTCTCACCTTCTAGTTTCAGGGGTCTTTGGTCATAAAACGGGACATTAGTTCTTGGGCATGTGAGATTCTAAATAATGTAGGTTTTGTGTTTGATCAGCAGATGCTTGTAAGAAGAAGGGTAAAATTTGAAAAATCTTGTTATATTTGTTCAGTCTGTAAAATATATTCTAAATACTCACAGTCAACAGTAGCTTTAGTTTATTATCAATTTGTAGCCTTTATAGAGCATGTTCAATTTTTAAACATTAAAGCACTTTTATAATTATTTTTTTTTTAAACTGTGGATTAGGACCTGACAGTGTCTTAAAGGATGTCTTAGTATCTCACACAGTACTTAACTAGGGAAAAAAAATAACCAGGTGAGATGTAGATTTTTCTTTTAACTTTTCACCTCTGAAGCACTCAGGATTACGGTTTACAGGACAATCTTTTGTTCTAATACATGAAATTTGTGTATGCTCTGGAATGATATAATTATTAACAATGACCATGATCGAAGCCCGGTCGGCCTTATGAATGATACCTGGAGTGTGCCGTGTATATAATCCATGAGTTTCATTACCTGCAGCCTTCCATGCCGGTTAACCCAGGGAAAAGAAGACAAGCCTTGAACTTCTTGTCGGTAACACACGAAGCAGGACGGAAAAACAAGAGGCGGAGGGAGGGGAAGCGTGATGCCACGCTGCCACCTACTGTCACCCGGCGGACTGCGGGGAGCCCTCTCATCCCTGAAATAAATATTGGACAGGAGGGACAAGATAACATCACCGAGGGACCCTGAGGGTCACACGTCTTAACTGGTTCAAGGATTCCAAAGGCGGCCTCGGGGCTTCCTTCCCCGCCCCCTTTGCAGGGTTGCGGCCAGGGCAGGACCGCGTGAGACATTCCCGTGTGTCAGGCTCAACACCACAGTGCCTGCACTGGTGTTCCTCTGCATCCAACCCAGAGTGTTCTTCTGCATCCAAAACACTTACAGTCACGGCTTACAGTAAACACTAACAAATAGGAGCTCTTTTGTGATATTTATTTAATAACATAGTACACAACATTTTTAAAAGGCGCAATGTGGTTTACTTGTACTTAACGTGGTAGGTAGAAATAAGGAGTCCTTAAGCAGCCCAGAGCTAGATCATCAAGTGCAGAGTACAGAAAGGCCTTGACAGAAGGCACAGTGTGATTGTCAAGTACAAATACGTCCTTGCCAGCGCTTGGTTCAGATATCCAAGTCTGGACTCTCCCTCTGCAATGCTTAGGAAGTTTCCACACACTGGCATGTAAGCAATACAGGACTCCCAACCTGCTGGAGGCCCACCTATTCCCACATTCCCAGGCACATGAAGCCCTCCAAGGAGCTTTTTTTCAGTCGTCATTTGCTGTAAAAACTGATAACATTTATTGACAGCAATGAAATACAAAAGCTCTAAAAAGTACACATTCTCTGCTGCCATGAGTAATCTAACAAATTGGCTGAGCTCTGTGGGAAACCTTGGCATGTTTGCTTAGGCTCACTTGAAGTGCAAATAGTCATAAGTATTCATGACAGAGGGTTTTATTTTTTATGAAACAAACAAGCTGAAATGCATTTTATTGCGCTCAGTCTGAAGAAAAAATGTATTCTGCTAGCACTGGGTTGACAGATTTTTGCATGTAAAAATGCCTTAATCCCTGTTTAAATTAAAACTTTGGAACTTTGGCTACCAAAGCGAAATTATTGCAGTAAAACAACCTGGATGCTTTTTTTTTTTTTTTTTTTTTTTTTTTTTTTTTTTTTTTTTTTTTTTTTTTTTTTTTTTTTTTTTTTTTTTTTTTGTGAGGTTTTTATATAATTATACTGGTTTCCCAAAATTAAGGCTATGAATAAGCTTCTAATAAAAAACTCAGTATTCTTTCTGAGATGGTGATGGAGTTCTTTACAAACCTTTTGAACTGAAGAGGCTGAACTCTGGGACATGGTAGTTCATAAGAGGACACGTCCTTCAGCTGGATAAATTGAAGGAGTGGCAGCTTTGTAATAAACCTCCAGATTGTATGCCTCCAGTAAGGAAGAAATTAAAAAGAAAAACAAACAAGACTGTCACATCAGAACCATCTCCCACTACCTCAGACCTTTCCAATTACCAAAAGCAGTTATTCTACTTCTGAACTGTAAATCCATCTGAATTTTTTTATGAATTAAACCTGAATTTTGAAAAGGTAACATCTGGGAAAGTTTAATTTGAAAACATAGTATTTACAAGATGTACAGTTTATATATTGGAGCCATAAAATGCATACAATGCCTCTTAAGTATGATTTATGATAGAAATTGATGCATATGTCTAATTTAAATGTTTAGGATAGTTTTTATTGGGTTTTTAAATTTATGTGTAAGAAAACATAACATGTAAAAATAGGAATGTTTTTATATTGTGCTTATATAGGAACTACCTGTATTGAGGTTTTTCTGAAAGGACATTCAATGCTGGTAGGATTTGTGTGCATCTAAAACCAGTTAAGAATATCTGCTAATGTTTTGAAACCTGGAAATTTCAAATTTTCTTGCAGAATCAACAAGAATTAAACTAGCATAAGAGCATGAACTTTTTTTTTTAGCACTATAACAGAACGATGTTAATTTATATTACATTTCTGCATGTGCCCTTTTCATTTGCTGTATAGAAGACAAAGCTTACTGAGGTGACAGCTTGCTTATGACACTGTATTATTCAAGATTACAAGAAGGGACCTGACTGAAAGACTGCAGAAGGGCATTATGGAATTGAGGGATGGGCAAATACAGCAATGAAATTCAATGCAGATAAACATCAAAGAATATGCATAAGAAAAATATCTTAATTTCAAGAATAAGATCTCAAAGTTATGGCAGATTTTTCCATAGAAATGCCAGCCCTGTGTTCAGCAGTGGCAAATCAAATGCCATACAGTTCACAAAAGAGCAGGAAGATGGAATAGCTTTCCTGCCAGGAATAGCTAAGCAGGCCTGGGAAAGAGAACTGGAGAGCAGTTTGTTAACAGTGGCCTAGATGAGGGCAGGTTGTTTGTTGTCCCTTCCAGTACAAGAACTGGGGACATCAAGTGACAATATCGGAATCAGGTTCAAAGGGAAAAAAAAAAAAAAGGATGGAGTTCTTCAGACCAAAGGTTATTTGAGCTCTAGAGGTACTTGCCAAAGGATATTGTGGACAATGAAAATTTAAATAGGTCAATGAGAGACTGAATGAGAGAGAGAAGCTTTATTTCCTTATCCTTGTTTAAAGATTTCCTAATGCATCTTTTTTTATGTTCTGCCTTTCTTGCTTTCGTCGGACCATGACACTCTACTTAAAACATTCTCTTAAATGCCATAGAATTTATTTCCAAACAGGAGACTGACAGAATAGCAAGCTAAAGAAATACTTCTCTCTGTAATTGTCCTAATTTCTAATAGCTCCATCATATTGCCTGGGAAAAATGTTGATAGCTGATTCTGTGAGACCTTGATTGCAAGGAATGTGTCCTTAACTCAACAAACTGTTTATTCACAAGTCAGCAGAAGATACTATTAGTATAAATAAAAGATAAATGTGCAAATATTTGCAAGAATATAATTGTCAATTGGCTTCTAACAAATTCAACAGCCCGCCTTAGGCGTACTTCATAAGAGCTGTAGTCTATATCATGCATTAAATTAGTGTTGTGTAGCAGTTATTGTGGCTTAACACTGCTAATTTTCTTCCCCGGTTGCGCAGGATGTACCGTGTTTAGATAGGAGTGATGAGAATAAGCGGAGACGTGATTAAATCTAATTTGGCACAACTCCTTTATATGTAAAACAAACAAAAAAAAAACCCAACGCCAGAAGCCCCCAAAGGCCGCAGGACACCGCGCAGCAGCGCGCGCCCCCTCAGCGCCGGGCTCGGCGCGCGGGGCGGGGGCAGCGCGGCCCGCGATTGGCTCGGAGAGGGCCCCCGGGTCACGTGACCTCCGGCGCGCTCCTTATAGCCGCGCGCCGGGCGCGAGAAGGCGTCTGGGTGTGCGAGCGCGCGCTGCGGGGTCCGCGCGGGAGCGGCCGGCGGTGAGCGGGGCCGGCGGGAGGGGCCGGGACACCGGGCTCGGGAGCGGGGCACCGGGCTCGGGAGCGGGGCACCGGGCTCGGGAGCGGGACACCGGGAGGGCACGGGAAGGGAAGGGGCTGCTCTCCATCTCGGTTGAGCCGCCGCCACCGGCCATGCCTTGGGGCCGCGAGGCTCCGTGGCTGAGTTCGGGCGTTGGCGGGCTCCTGCCTCGCTGCTCGTCATTGGCCGCGGCGCGGAGGGCGGGGCTGGCGCGCTGCGTGCCCCGCGCCCCCCGGCCGCCCGGCGCGCCCCCGGCCGCCCGGCGCGCCCCCGGCCGCCCGGCGCGCCCCCGGCCGCCCGGCGCGCCCCCGGCCGCCCGGCGNCCCCCGGCCGCCCGGCGCGCCCCCGGCCGCCCGGCGCGCCCCCGGCCGCCCGGCGCGCCCCCGGCCGCCCGGCGCGCCCCCGGCCGCCCGGCGGGGAGGCCGCTCCGGGTTGGGCTCCGCGCCGCCCTCCCGCCCCTCGCGGCTCGGCCGCGACCTCGGGAGCGGCCCTGGAGGGGCCCGCAGACGGCGCCGTGCATGGCCGACTGCTTAGGGCAGCAATGAAAGCCGACAGTCCGAAATGGTAGTGTTCTCTAACTAGTGTTTCCCGAACTTCAGGAGTAGGGGGATGCCGTATTAATTTCGCTGTTTTTCTATTGCAGTTGATCTCATGAATTCCAAAATGAAACAAAAACTGACCGCAGAACAGTCCTCAGGATCTTTGCAGGTATAGGTTTTAAAGCCTGGAAGCTAGTACCTCTCTGTCTGACACAAGCTTCTCTGTCCACTGAAGGAATATAAAGGGATCTGTTGCAATGTGCTTCCACCTGGCCTATGTCCATTTGGCTTGAGTAACCTCCTGGCAGACAATGTGGCTGGGAACATGCTGTCCTGCTTGGGTATATGTGCTTATGACTACTTTTTTTCCTATTGCTCAGCAAGTCCTTTTTACTTTGACACTGAGCTTACTGTCTCCGTTTAATTTTTCAGGGTTGGTTTGGTTTGTTTGTCCTGACTATGTGCCTTTGCTTACTGAATCTGTCTGGCTTATGCTTAGGGGTTGTAGAGTAGGTTTTGTAGGCTGTTCTTTATGGGTGGGAACTTCTGAAGAGTTCTGTCTTGTGTTGGACATGATTTAACTGAAATATTCAAGCAGGCGGTTCACTTTCTAAAATCACCTTCATAATAGTTGCCTTGGAATTGGTGGAAATGCTTAAACAATTTAGGTTTTTAAGAGCTAACTGATTAGGTACAAACTATAGTAACTTTTCTTGGTAAATCTTTTAACGTAGGCCCTAATCAGACTGCTACAAAACTGTATATAATAGAGGCTGGTAATTCTTGTATGATGACGCACAATGACTGGAATGTAAGTTTCAGGTATTAATGAGAACTGCTGATAGGTCTGATTTATGGCACTCTTGTCCCATAGTGTCTCTAGGGTATAAATTGCTCTGTGTGGCTTTTTAACCTTTCAGTGGGTTAACTTGAGTATTGGCCAATAATTTCTTGGCAGAATATACTTGACTCTAATCCTAAGTAACAGCAAGCAGTGTCTGACACACGGTGTGATTCTTGTTCCCACAGCAGTTAATGTTTGTCCTTTAGTGGAACAGTAGGATAATTGGTGGCAGAAACTACCGTGGGAAATGCGAGCTCTTGTCCTATGAAGTACGGTGTGAATTGGTGACTTTCTCACGCTGGTGTGGCATTGTATCCTGGCTGTTCTTGCTTGGTTGTCTGCCATTGTTTGCTATCCCATGGTGGCAGTGTAACCAACCCAATCAGAAAGCTTTGATGCAGGAAAGAGGCATTTATGCATGATAGGAAGGGTGATAAACATACTGGTTAGACAAAACAATAGCCTGTCTGGATCGACACAAAGAAACTTTTGATCCATTTTAATGGATAATCAAAGTAACACATCTATTTAAATGAGCACTGTTTGACGGTGTATTCATAGGTTACAAAAACAGCTACTACCTGATCCTGATGTGCCACCACGTAACCTTGCAACTGCAATCAGTTTGGTCCCTGTCCCCAAAAGTCAGACTGCTGCTCTCAAACTCAAGTTTGAGAGGTCCAGCTAAAGTCACTGGTCTTGAAATCTAATCAGAGTATTTCTGCTCCAGTTTTTATGAAAGGTAAATATTTCTGAAGAGGCAGGGATTGATGTAGCTTCCTGTTGTAAAGATCTGTCTCTGCTACAAAAAATTAGATCCCTTCATTACAAAAGCCTTAATATAAGCTACAGGGTCATTTTTTTGTCTTGAAAAGAAAAATTGTGTTACCTTAATGGAAGGATGATGGATTCCTAATTTTCGGTTTATGTAAAGAAGAGTGGCTACTCTCTGAACCATTTTTGTCTTTTCAGAAGTACCTCACAGATACCACATGCAGTGCTGCCCAAAGACCAACTCTTAAAATGATTCAGCCTTCAGCATCTGGCAACCTGGTTGGCAGGCCTAATGAGGTATAAACTAAAAGATCATCTGTAAATATGGAATTATTTCTAGTCATAGTGAAGTGCTTTTGAGCTGTTAACTGAAAACTAATAGATTTGAAAAATATAATGTGCTAACTAGAGTGACACAACTTAAGCTTGTTCTAGTAATAAAAAATATTAAAACCTAACAATTTGAGTTTTTTGGGTATTAAGGAAGATGTCTGAACTGGAACTATAATGTGAAGAAAGCAGGATTTGGGGACTTACTTGCAGGCTTAGAAGTTTGTATTTTTATGTAGGCTGAGATGTTCCTCTAAACTCAAACCTGCCCATGTTTTATGCAGAAGAAATCTTCAGTCAAAAGGAAACTCTGTAATAACAAATTTGCCTCAAAGGCTTGTAAAGCTGAGGTGTTTGTGGACAAGGAACAAGAGAATGAGAATGATGTCGTTCAAGCTGAAGATCTCATGATGAAAGGTATGTGGTAATTCCTGAAATGTTTTCTTGCACTTTAAATGCTATGCTGCTGCTGGAGTACTACTTGAAACATATTTCCTGTGTCATTTAGATAAGGGTTTTGTGGGTTTTTCATAATGTCTAGCAGGAGGTGATGATACTTATCCTCTATATTAAATATAGATGTTAAGAATTAGTTCATGATAACCAGTAGCTGAGAAGCATGGTGTGCAGCTGTATTAAGGAGTCTTGTAGTTTGTTATTTTGGCTGGCCTATCAGTTTCTAGTGACTAATAAGTTGAATTGAAAGCCTGTTCTGCCACAGCAGTTTCTCAGTACCATTATGCCCAGTGTGGACAGTGACTTTGGAAGTAGCACTTCTGTCTTCCATAAAGCACACATTCAGAGCAGCATTTGCAAATGTGGCCATCTTGCAGAGCCTGCTGCCCTGCTTGAGGCAGCTTGGCACTGTACAGCTATGAATGCAGTGTAGGATCTGTTTCCTGTAAGCTTGTGTCACTAGTTGCAGTTATACAACTAATCTTTGAAAGCATTATACAGAGCGAGTTCTCAGTATCACAGCTCATAGAATACTTGTATACAAGTTAAATATCTTAAGGTGCTCTTAAGAGCCATGGACTTACTGTAGCCTCTAACTTCAGGAGATCCTTCATCTCAATATTGGAAAGAAGTGGCTGAAGAAAGGAGGAAGGCTCTGTTTGAAGTGCTTCAAGAAAATGAAAAGGTAGGTACTCAGAGATGCCTGATTGCTAAAGTTACCTGGTTATTGTCTTCCTCTTCTGACATTTTGTTATTTGAACTCAGTTGCACAAAGAAATTGAGCAGAAGGATGGTGAAATTGCCCGCCTAAAAGAAGAAAATGAAGAGCTCATGACCCTTGCTGAGCATGTCCATTATATGACCGGTGTGATTGAGGTACTCAAAGCAATTTTCAGTTAATGTTGTAGAACAAAAAAGTGAGAAACCAGCCAAGGTGTTTATAATGAATCATGACTTCTGTTACATGTGCTAACATGACTATTCATTTTAAACTGCTCTTTGACCTGTTTCCTGCAGAATTGCTCTAATTCTAGAGTTAAAGAGCTCCTTCTAGGGGATGATTTTTTTCCCATCTTAGAACCTATAGGAGTAATGAGAGTACTAAGAGGGTTGTTTTCAGAAGGAGGGATTCAACCTGCTCTCTTAACAGAACAGGATTTGCATGTTGGTGACTGTGATAAGGGAAGGAAGAGTTGACTTTTACATTTTTTGGGGTGGCTTTAAATTCATGTGCTGCTTAATAGGTTGGTACTGGCTGTGTCCTTTGAGAAACTAAACTTAAAACAGTCACAAAGTAGAGCAGTGAGAGGGAGCACTATGCTCTTTAAGGTCAAGGTTTTCCTGTGAAGGCACAGTGCTAGTTTGACTGCCCAAAAAGGGCTGTACACAGAGTCTCTAGGGTTCATAAACTCATAAATTTCCTAACGGCTTTCTTTGAGAATTCTTTGGGGTAAGTACTTGTGTCACTAATTCCATGGCTCCTTTAGCAGGAGTGGATTCTTTTTAAGAGCCACTGAAGCTGTGATGAATACATAGATAGCTGTGGAACCTTGATGTGGCTTTCAGGTTGTTTTTGCAGGAATTAAGCTCTCATTAAGCTGGGTGCCTGGCAAACACTTTGAATCTTTGACTAGACTGGGAGGCAGAAACAAAATAAAATATTATTGCAAGGAACTTGTCTAATCAAGAATTAAACTTCATCAAGTTACTTTTCAGTTAGTGCAGTTATTTTGATCAGCCTTGAAAGACTGTTTTTCTACACTTGACTTTTTTGGTATTTGGGAGTACCGTTTGTTAGTGATAAACCCACTGGCAGAAATTACATCACTTGAGGACTTGAACTAATATAGTTGAAAACTTTTTTACAGTTTCTCAGAAGTTATGATGACTTATTAGGTGTCAGCTGCTTCCTTCTGAGGCTTAAATGAGGTTAAGGATACATCAAACAACCAGAAGCTTCAAAACCAGCCTTACAGTCCTATTTATCTTCCTTAGATCTGGTTAGGGTGAGGAACTTCTATGTTGATCAAGTGCTAGAGACTGCTGGGTCTCAAAGCTCATCTAGACTTAATGTAGCTTCATCTCTAACTAAAAATGGAGTAAATTAGTTGTACAGTAATTTTTCTAAAATTAAATCTATATGGTACTATAGCAAATACTTGGGAACCAGTTTCCCATGTTTTAGGTCGCCTGAGATAAAACCTGTCCTACTGAAGAATTTAAGAAAAATTGAACAAAGCAAATGTGGTTTGGAAGAAGTAGTAATTTGAGTTGAAGTTGTCTTAAGATTTTTATAACTGAGGAATGTTTTGAATATATCAACAACCTCCAAATGAAGGTGATTAGTTTACTTAATTTAGTATGCAGGGTCTTCTTTCACTATTTCATAGTTAAGGATAAAAAATATTAAATTCACTGCCTTCTCTTTGCAGAGGCTAACTGGGCAAGCACCTGACAGTCTTGAGACGCTGGAGAGTCTGGCTCTAGAGGAATCCAGACAGGAGAATGAAGAGCATAACTGTGGAGATGAGGCAGACAGCCCTTCTGAAGAAGAGCCATCTCAAGTATTGTCTGGCTTAAGAGAGAATAGATCAGATCTTCCTTCAAAGGAAGTAAGCCATGTGCAACTGGAATGACAACCTTTAAAAAGGGCTTATGTATGTGGCTTTTAATTGCAGATTTCCTTTTGAAAGGGTATACTAAACCTCAGGTATAGAAACTCCTGTGGGAGCATTGCAGATGCTGGTATTTTTAACTGGAATTATGTAGCAGTGGGAGAAGCATCTGAATAATGCATGGAAAGTTTACTACAGGCTGCATGTAGTTATTTGTATGAAACACAAATACTGTGTATTTCAACTGTTGTGTAAATATCTTTCTTATCAGTTGGTCTGACATGATGCATGAAAATTGATAAATAAATCTTTGCATTACCAAAATAGTGTTTTAATTGACAGGGGAATGGATAATCCTTGGTTTAAACCAATTATGACTCCTATTGATGGAAGCTTTCAAGGTTTTGGGGGCATGCCTGGGCAGTTTTTAGTTCTTTTTTAGGTTTGCAGAATTCTGGAGAACAAAATTGCTTTTTTTGTGGATAGAGAAGGCAGGGGAAAAGCAAAAATTTGTGTGCTGTTGGTGAGGTTTCAGAAAATCTTCCTGGGTAATAGAGTCAAAATCTAAAGGTCAGTTAGATTTGATTTTTAAAAATTCATTTCCTCTGCCTTCTAAGGAGGCATTTTGCAAGCTGTGTAATGAGAGCTTGAGTAGGATATATTAGACCTTTTATTTTAGTAATACTTTAATTGGCTTATGAAGAGAAGGTGGTGTGTTCTTGGTCCCATTAGCAGCTGTGCTGAAAACTAGGTGGAGACAAAGCAGCCAATACTTTGTGCTATTCTGAAAGGAAACATTGTTTTCAAGGTACTGCTCTGGTATTTACCAGGAGATGAGACACCCTTTTACTAAGGTTCTGAAAGGTTTACAGGAATAGAAAGGGTCTTGAGCGCCTTATCTGGTATCTGCATGGGCTGTGATGGAGCGGGAGAGAAACTGGATATAGATTTTCTACTACTGAGTGAACTTGGGACAGTTGTTCTGTGGCAAAGCTTTAACAATGGTACCTGTCACCATATCTTGGGAGGAGCTTAAAGCTGCGTGCCTTTCAGGAGGTGGAAGTGAATAGAAGCATCCTGGTTTGTGGATCTCTCTGGCCTTGCCAAAGATGGTTGCTTCAGGGTATGTGTGAATGACTCCGGAGCTATTGGATTGGCACCTTTTATGTTCCTTCTGTTTTACTTTCTTGTGGCCGTTGATAAGTTAACAGATGTTTTACAACTGCTTTCTGTCCTGACATCCAGGAAATGTCAGAAACCATTGTAGGAGGTAATACTCCTGGCTGCCGTTTTACCTCAAGCATGCTAACTAGAAAATGAGGCATCACAAAATATTGTGAACTTTGTAGCACAAGATTGTATCTTCCAATGTGTGCACCAGGGAGTGCTTAGACATATTCTTTTCCATCACAGTGCTGAAAAGGTGATAAAGGCATGTCCTTTATCTTGCACTGATGCTGTTTTGAAGAAGAAATAAAACTGTGCTAGTCAAATGTTTTGTAGAGTAACCTTGGTTTTCTGTTAAGAAGTGGGTAATGCTTGTCAAATGACTTAGACCTCTCCTAGCTCAGATTCTAAGCAACTGTCTTAAAGTCATTCAAAATTAGTAAGTAAAGAAGCATTTTCACTTTGATATAATTGTTCTTTGCAGTTCAATTTAGTTTAAGTTGTTGATTGTATTAACTAATTTTTTTGGAGGTGGCTTTATTTTTGGACATCAGGCATATTTTATTTGCAGAGGCTGTAGAAGGGAAGAAGGGACTTCTGTGGCATGACTAGGAGACCAAAATGAGACAGCAAGTGCAGCTTTTCCACTGTTTCAGTTCCTGCTGTGTAAGCTGCTGTACTACAGGGGCTGTTGGAAGAGAACTGCCAGAGAGACAAATCCAGAATTTGTGTGCAGTATTTGCATCTGTGTTTATTTTTATGTCAATCAGGGGAATGCTTATTAGGTTTAAATCTTATGGTTTTTTTGGGATTGATTTTTATTTAAATAAAAGATGTGACAGTCTCTTGATATGCTGGATCCTTCTGTTGAAATAGAATGTGTACAAGTAAATCGTGGAAGTTCTGCAAATAGGCTGATGGGTGTGTTGCAGCATTTGGCCCACCTGTAATAGAGTAAATTCTTACATCAAAAAGGCATGTGCCACTTAGTAATACATACTAATGTTTTAAACCAAAACGACTATGGTTTTATTAAGTGCAATTTGTTAGCAGAGTGGATAGTTTGCTGTATAAACTGAAAAAACCTGTGATGCCCGAGAAGGCCAAGTGTGAGAGCCAAATGGCACCATAATAAAATCATTATACATGCTTTGTCACAGATGCATTGAACCTTGATCAAACACAGTGACTATGCCTGTTGTATCAGACATTAATGTATGGAAATGTTCTCAGCAGTTTTAGGATCCTGCAATAATTGCTGTTTAAAAGTATTCTGAAAGGATTGAGTATTGTTCTGAAAATTCCTGGCTGCTTTTATGAACTTGCATGCAGTAGCACTGTGCTACATATTAAGTCTAGGAACTTGGTATTTAGGTGCTAACATTTTGGAAAAGGTGTAGAAATTATACAGAAATTTGTTTGTGGTTAGTTCTTACAACCAGTATATAGGGAAACTCATTTGTCACTGTAACACAGTTATGTAGCAGCATTACTAAAGACAACCTTTACATCCAGCTAAGTTATAGAGAGAACATTCTATCTAGCACAATAAAATTATCAGTTCTGGAACCTAACTTGGAAAGAATGTGATTCTTTCCAAGGAGTCAAATGTGTTTGTGCTACCAGCATGTTGACTCCTTTTCACTGCAGAGGGTACAGACACAATCTTGTCTTTCACTGAGGCAGGCTCAGGCTGTGTGGAAGAGGGATGTATCTATGGTGTCTTAGCACTTCTCCCATAAAATGTGCATGTCTGAACAGGGCTGAATTTCATGCAAGAGCAGTGTGGGGAGGTGGGTCATTTGCAGGCATCACATGTTTCCAGAATGAGCAGCTGTGCAGGGACAAGCAAACCATGGGGCAGGGGGATTGTTTGTGTGGATTGTATGAGGAAGAATTCATAACTGGCTTACACTAAGGATTTTTTTTTTTGGCTAAGCACCCATTGTACTTAAGACAATGTGTGGAGAAATTAATTAGACCATAATAGCAACTTGTTTGGGCAGCTGAAACTCACTTGGTTTTTGGCACTGGATTGCTTATGTGAGGGCCTGCAGCATTGTCCTGTGTTCCACCTTATGGTGTGGCCTCTGCATAAGTAATGAAGTTAGTCATAGGTTATTTTTTGTTAAGAACATGTGATGCATATTCAGTTACTTTTCCTCAAGGGTCATCTCGGGTTGTTGTCAGAACTGGATTTGAGAATTTAATAAGATGTGCGAATTTTGCTAAGGCTGTGCTTTTCCAGCACTCCAATGCTCTTAAGTCTGAGTTGCATTGTCATCAATGGGTTTTTTTTCAGCAGAAAATGTTTATTGTGTTATTAATTTCTTTCCATTCCTCTAATAACACAAAGCAGTTTAGCAACTGATAATGGTGTTATGAGGAGCCTTAACTTGCTGCTGTTTGATGAACTGCTGGTAAATCCCTGTAATGAAATGTAATCAGTTGTGAGGACACATCTATCCTGCCTTTGGGGCACTGAAGCCATTTGTGCTGTGGATCCTTTCCTCCGGACAATCCCACTGCAAAGCAGGGAGCCATACCTAAGATACAGTATCTGGCAGTTGTTGACTGTTAATTTTGAAGTCCATATTAATGATAAGCATTATTTATAGAGTATACATTATACTGTATATATCACAGACTGCAGGATAGGGTGAAGCTGTAGAGTATAACCTTTTCTGAAGGTCTGATGGATATAACAGCCTGTATCTATAGTAGTATAGGGGTGCTACAGATTTCTATTTATGGGGCCAAATGCAGGGGTAGTAAAAACCACCACAGCATAAGGTAAGGATACCTTTACCACCAGATAACCCCTTTTCCCAGTATACTTCTAGTGAGCTGCCCATCTCTTCCATCTGCAATGCTGTTGAGCTACTTTGGCATGGGAACTTTTTCCTAACATACTTTCCTGGGGTGGCCCTGAGTTTTAAATCTGTTCAAGTAAGCCTGCTGCAGCCCTAAGAGCTTTTGTAATTACTGCTTGCTGCTTCCTTCTTTACAAGTCGGTAACCACGAGCCTTGTGATGCTCACCTCTGGTTTTTCCTACTCCACCAGGGAGTATGTCAGTGTGCCAGGAAAAGGCAGCATTGTCAGCTCTGCAAGCAAAAAAATGTACAAGCTATTAGACAAATAAATTGTTTGGTCATTTTTCTTTGCTTTCAGTTTTGGAAGCTTTTAAGGTCTGTTCACTTTGTCACAGCTGTCATGAATCCTGGTTATAATGGTGTAGCAGATCAGCTTTAGGTTAATAAAGTTCTCCAAGGGTGGCTTTAAACTACAGTGAGATGAGATAACACACTCCATCTGATGCAGTACCTCGGTATGTGAACTGCTCTCTGTTCTCTGTGGCTTTGGCTCCCTGCTCCATAGGCAGCTCTACATTCCCCAAGGTGTGTGCTGTAAGGCTGAATGTTTGAGAAGGGAAAATTAATGGAAGGAATGTCTGAGGAGAGCCAGTCTTCACAGAAGGGAGGAGTAATCAATGCAAGTTTGGTAACAACCCTGGAGCCTCTCCAGCACATTTTCTGGTAGTTCCTGTGGAGCCTTTCTTGGTAAGTATCTTGAATGATACACAAAACTGGCTTGCTCTGAACCTAGACTATGAGCCTGATAGTGAAGAGGCTGCTGATGGAAAGGGTGACTGTACATATGGACTGATGTGCTTAGTAATTAAAAATAATCTTTATTATAACTTAAATGTGATAGGAAATATGGTGAGTACAAATGCCAAAAAACTAAAAGAAAATTAAAAAAAAAATAGATACAAAAGGACACTGTGAAAGAATTCAACTGATGGGACTGGTGTAGTATAAAAACCATAACATGGCTATTTCACCTTCTGCAAAAAGAGTTTTATCCCTCAGTAAACAAGTAAGCATTTTGCACTGTACAAAATGTACTTCTTTAATTAAAGGAAGAATATATATATTTATAAATATACAGATATGTACATTCTTGTAACATTCACAGTAAAAAACAAAACAAAACAAATGACCCCTGCCTGCCAAAGTGTTTGGCTCACAAGGTTTCCTCTTGATGTGAACTGTTTGCAATATTTTCTATGTCATCTATGCAAATTTGGATACTTCAATTGACATCTAAATAGCATTTCATGCATAATGAACACAGTACAGGAACACTCTTCTGTTAAATTCTATTCACCTCTGTTAACTTAAGGCTTGTAATCAACAGTTTGAAGTACTCTCTTTCAACCTTGCAGTGCAGGGAGGGGAGATGCATTCATTTCCCCCTCTGTTTATTGCTGCCTCCAAGGTGCACTTGAGTTTGTTCTGTTCTTTATATTGAAATCACTCTATAGAAACTATGCTCCTCTAATTAGAATGTACCAAATCCAATCCTGCCTGCAACTTGCAGGACAAAATGGCTTTGGGGAAACGTGCAATTAGCAGTATTCACTCCTTCTTCTCAGAATAAATAAATGCACCTTACCTTTTCATTTAGCTTTCAGAAACCTACATGATTGTTTGATCCCCCTCAGAAATTGCTGGATTAATGATAGTTTGCTGCTGGAGGGCAAGAGAAGGGAATAAAAGACCAGTGTAGGCATTTAGAATGAGTCACCAAAGTGACACCTCCCAGGGTTCACATCATGCTGTTTCTCCAGGCAAAACTTGCAGAACTTTCCCTGTATTTCATTACCAAGACACAACTGAGAAAGCTGAGCAGCGTTTCCTGCCACTGGAGTGTTGCTGAGGACACTGCATGGCAGCAGACACTTCATTTGGGATTCAAGGGAAAACTTTGCATGCCTGCTCAGGTGGCCTCCTGAGTGTCCTTGTTAGATACGGTATCACACATCTCAAGCTCTCACAACAACTTCAAGGAAGTAAATGTAATAGGAAAATATATGGAGATGCCAAATTCTAAAAACCTCACAGAAGTCTATTGAGGCTGAATAACTGCAATTACATTATTTGTTTAGAATCAGTCAATAAAGTATTGTTCCTCAGCATCCAACTGTTCCATCATGAGCTGCAACAAGGAGCCAATAGGAATCCTTAAGCTGGATTTTAGATTTTGCTTTTCTTGAAGAAGTCTGTAAATTGCTACATTTTGGAACATTCTCATAGAATTTGTTAAAGTCTTCCTTTTGTTCCCCACACTAAAGTGCAGCTCCATCCTACTTTAATGCCTGTTAAATGTTACAGGTCCTTTTCCATCTAAAAAGCTGTGGCAGCTTCAGTTCCACGGCGGCTTCCAACTTTAACAAATTCCCGGGGAAATTTGTCCAGCTGTTCATATGCCAGTCTCCCATCTTCACCTGAATGCAAAATGATAAAGGATAATAATGTATTATGTAATTGCCCTAGAACATTTAAAATACTGGATTCTCTGCTGTTAGGATGTTCTGATTGGCCAGCAACTCATACCCCTTCTTAAACTTTATCTTGTTAGAAGTTATTTCAGAAATTATTTGGAAAAATTCAACATGCTCTGTATGTTCAAATTATTATTTTTTTTAATTTCCCATGTAGCTTCTTTGGTTATCTAAAGCCAAACAGTAGCAGATGTGGCTTGTATGATGAGGTGACAATATCTGCACATTTGTACTGAATGACCTATTGTGCTTGTCAAGGTCTCAGCTGCTGCTGTGATGTACTTGAGGTAAATTATATTTATCCACTTCAACCTTGGAAAATATAAAGTTTATGCACCTCCCACTTCCTGGCACTTTAAAGAAGTGAGTCTATCCACATCATTACTTCTATACTGCTGAAAATGAGGAAGCAGTATGTTTGCTAAATATTGTGTCTTTCAACCCCTTTTTCCTTAGCTACTGCCATCTATATGCACTTTCATGAAGATGGTATTGAGCCTAATGTGTTGAACTGGCAATTAGGAGCCAAAAATGGTCTCTGTATGTTGTCTAGAAGAATGGCAGAACAATCAGAGTTTTCAAGTGTCACTGGGCTAGTTGTTTTATAACCTGAGCAATAACATGTCCAACAGCAGACTGAATTCCTGCTGAAGTGGTGAATGGAAGAGAGTATATTTGAAGGGTTTGCATAATTAAAATAAGACAAGGATACCTTCCCCGTGGAGTAGAAATTCATGCCTAGCCAAAAGGCCAGAAAATCACAATTTTTCCATGCCACTGAAGTACTGGTGCTCAGAAACTGTGCAGATTAATTATCAATTATTTCTGTTTCTCAACTTCTTCTTTGCTATCCTTTTTACTACTTCCCCCTCCAGACTCACACAATTCAATTTCTCTCTTTTTTGCTCATTTTCAAAATGAATTATTTTTAAGAATCTCTATTTTCTGACTTGTTTAAGTCACTCTGTAAAGTTTCCTTCAATTTACAGTCTCACATTTACATAGTTCAGGTGTCTCACATGCTGCTCTGTTAAAAAATAAAATTAAATACTGCTCTAAACCAGGCAACTCACCAAGGGAGAGCAGGGTTTCAGATGCCACTTTTCTGATCTCTTCATTGTCAGACTGGCAGAGCGTGACCAGCATTTTAATGCTCTCAGTAGCCTGGGAAGTGCAAAGAGAACTTGCATTAGCACCACACAGGACACACAGGTTTTTCCACAACCTTGCATGCAAATAGTAACCATCCTCTGCACTGTCCTTCCCACTCCAAGAAAAGGGCTTTGGTGGAGACAGGAGGAATGGGGTTTCCCTGAGGGGAAGCATTTGGAGGAGGTGTATTTTCTGCTGCTGGCATGGACCCTTTCCAATTTCCCTACTCTATACATTACATACATAAGTCTGCCAGAGCAGCTGTGTCTGCCACTTCTGACTGTAGGATAGGTGATGGGCTGTGGACCAAGGCCATAAAATGCCAAGGTAAGGGTACAGCAGGGAAATGAACAGGAGACAGGTGTCTAGAAAATGGGTTTCCTATAAAGCATGACAAGCCTCTGCTCACCGATATTTGCAGACTTCTGCCTTGCCTCTCCTATTTTGGGAAGAAAGCAAGGAATAATCCTGTTCTGTGATACAAAAATGTCAGGTCTTTTGGGAGAGCAGCTGTCATAGTGCCTCTGGTTGGCTATTTAATACTACAAGAGCGATGAGTGAAAGGAAGAGCAGGTACTACCCCAGTGTGACACCTGGAAGAGACACTGATCCACGGAGTCAGTATTGTTTGAGCCCTGTCAATCCATGGGGCACAAGGTCTGGTCTGCATGCTCTGAAAGAGGGCCAGAGCCATTGAATCTCACCACTTGTCTTCAGTGTGGCCACTTGTGCGTGACTCGGGGTAAGGCTGCATAGGTGACTGCAGCTCAAATGCTTGTCAGTGATGGAGCCAGAGCAACACAGAGCTTGCTGCCATCTGAAAAACCCCTCAGAGATTCAGTGGGCCCTTGTGCAACTGATTAAACTGGCCCTGGGTTACCCCATCCACAGCCACCTACTCACTGTAGCATTTCCATCTCTGAAGTAATAACTTCCAGCTTCAGCTTTATCACTGAAGATTCCAAACAATGATACTTTTCCTCAATAGCTTTTTTCCCCAGCCATTCTCACTATTCAAGACTCACTGAAGCCACACTCTTCAATTAAATTTATCTAGCTCCAGTTCCCACCACTGGTTCCTAGTCTGAGTTTTCCTGAGCAATCAAAAACCCCACTGCAACCCCAGGCAGCAGAGGTATAATGTCCCTCAGCATTGCCTCTCAGGGATGCCTGCTAGCTTCTCATTTAAGGGAAAGGTTTTTCATATTTAAACAATACTGGATTATGTGTTAGATGGCATCAGTTGTGACTGGGATGAAGTTATAGTTTAGAGATTAGAGGGAGAAATAGTCAGTCTAAAGTGCATCAGTCCCATGAAACACATTTTTTGCCCCAGTGTCCCATGCCAGCTAGGCTTGGTGGCTGCTGTCTCCCATGGTTCTATACAACCAAAACAAAAGTGCATTTTCCCATCCTGTCATAGGCTGGAGTGCAAAGATGGTACCAGATGCTAGCTGAAGCTGTAGTGCCCAGATGTACCAGTTATTTGTCACAAAACAAGATGTGATCTCTCCTTTCTGCTACTGCAGTTCACATGCATTTGAGCTAATTTTATCCTGGGAAAGCATTTTTTTTATCCTTCTCAGTCAGTAATTTACAGATTAACTTTTTCTTTTTTCTCTGTGATGTGGAACTGAGTCTCCTGAAGTCAATATGAGGGGGAGGAAAAGATGTTATGCAAAAGACATAATTTTGCCAAGGTCACAGAGGCCAGGTGTTTGTGGTTCAGAAGGTTCTAAACCATTCCCTTTATCTGAAAAAGGATGGAGCACAGCAACCCAAAACAAAAACACTACCGCTGTTGTTACTGCAATTTCTCTTTTGCTGTTTGTACCTATCAGATGTCCTTTCTATAAAGCAAAGCCAAGCACCACAATGTATTCCTTGTCTCTTACCTTGAGGTATCTTAGAGCCAAGCAAGCTGCTTTCTGCAGCTGGAGGTTGGGCTGGGTTAGTGCTTCACAGTAATAAATCAAGGCCTGAAAACAGATAAAGAAGAATAGCATTGAAAATACCTGTGCCTCCACAGAGAAGGGTGGAGCATGGAGGTATTGCTACCCTGTTAAAGGGAGAGCAATTGCAGCCTGCCTCCCTGACAGTGAGCATGTGGGATGGCACAGCGTGGCATAACTCCCTACAGCAGATCTAGGCCAGACCACTGGTCACAGATCAGCAGTCTCAGGCCAGCTTTTGGGGAGGAGAAGTTCATGTTAAAGTGAGATGCACTATCTGGCATCTTTGAAGGCCTTTCACCATATATCACCAAAGAGCTTTGAATGGGCCTTGGAGTCTAGTATCTCAAGAGGTGGCCCTTGTGATGGTCTCTTTAATGTAGGGATAATAATGAACTCATTGGTATAGACCCCAGGGAGACTTAAAATAATGATTACTATGTCAACATGAGCTGCTAGACCATTTTACTGCTTGACCTTAGAAATTAGTAGCTACTACAGAGCAGCAAATCTCAGCAGCACTCAGCTGTACAGTGAATTCATCTGCAGCATAAGGCTGCATAATACCCTCACAGAAGCCACTCCTTGGTCCTTCCTGCAGGCAGTGGACCAGGTATCACCTACACATGCTGCCTGTTCCAGGAGAAGGTTATATTTGCCTTGAGATGCTGCCACCAGGAAACTGGGGATGGGAGAAGGATGGTATGAAATACCAAAAGGCCGCAAAAATGGAAGATGAAGTGGGAGGGCAAACAAAAAGGGGACTGGATTGATAGACAGGAGAAGCAAAGACTTTTTCTCTTCCCTCTGCCTTCCTTCTGCCACTCTTCCTCTTCCAGCTGCTTTTTCTTTTGCTCTTTCCTGACAGAGAACAAGATTAATAGTAGGCAAAGGTCTGCCATGAAAGGGCAGGAGCCAATCTCTAATTTCTTCTTCCTCCTCCTTCTCCCCTCTATTTAATTCCTGTGTTTAACCTGGCCCTGTTTGTTGCATTTGGTATCAGAGATAGACTCAAATCTTAATTCTCATAGCTGAGCTGTGCTTGCCCAAGGCAGTCCATCCCCTTTGGAAATGGTGGGAAGTCCCAAAGCTGGCAAACTCCTTTGGGGGAAAAAAATCTGAGACCTAGGTCTTTGCATGTTGGTGATGCTGGGGACTATTACCTTGAAGCCTTGGACTGAAGCCAAGTCTGAGACAGGGGAGAAGAAATGCTGATGTGTGTAAGATAGCTGGAGAGCACAGCACCCAGTAAGTATTTGCAGTTTTGATTGGTACCTGTTTAGTGTAATGACAGGTAGAAGCAGACTGGCATAAAGATGGAAACAGACCTGCACATGTGCAGAAAAATTAGACAGGCTATTCCTCTGGATCACTTTAAATCAAGCTTGGATCAGTTATTTTATATGCACAGATATTTAAGATATACAGTTAGAAAAAAGTCATGATGACACAGGTCTCTCATGCAAAAGGTGATTTTCTGCCACTTACCTTCTCCCTGAAGTGCCTGTTTTCTGCAGTTGCTGTCAGAAGTGATGCCACAGTCTCACTGACTTCATTTTTATTTTCATTGAGAAGTAAAGCCAAAGCTCTTAAAACTTCCTGCTGTGGTGGAAGGTTATTGGAGTTTATTTTGGACACATTTTGCTGCAGTTTTCCGTCTTTCACTGACTGCAGCACCTGAACCACAGATGCTGGAAGTGCAAAAAAAAGATCCATGTTACTTTATCCTCTCAGTACTTTGGATTGATCCTTTTCCCACTAGCAATTGTTGATTTATATTACACACACTGAGGATATGAAAATATTCCCTTCTGAGCAACTGCAGCATGTCGGTGTGTTTGCATGTCTGCATGGGGAATTGTCTGGGCTTTAAGCTGGGCCAGTTTCTCAGACATTCTTCAAGTGAGGAGATGAGTAGATGGGCCAAAGTACAGCACTTAGGCCTACCCAGAGCTAAAGGCACACCTGTCAAAACTCTCTGCTTTGTGCTGGAAGATGGGAATTCTCACTCTTAGTATTGAAACCAAATATCCTGGCTAGTGTATTGACTTTCAGAGCATCTTTGTGAGAGCTTTTCCTGGGTAGACTGATGTCTGCCAACAAGAGCTAGGGCTAATATATTTCAGAGGTAAGTTGAAATACCATTTTGCTTCCAGGCTTTTGAGCAAAAGCTCCCTCGTTTGCCCAAATAAAAAGGAAAATTAGGCAAGATTCCTCAAACTCCATCTCAAATAGAGAAGAAAACTTGGCTTGCCAGGGACTGCAGTTCAGCACACTTTGTGCAGCATCTGCTTCTCTCTTTAGGTCTTGGTGGCAGGGCCTGCAAAACCCTGAGGTGCTGTGATGCTTTGGTCCCTGAGAATTGCTCAGCACTTCAGAAGGTGTCTCCATAACAGGTCATGAAAGACCAAGACATCATCCAAACTGTAGGCACAGAAAACTTCCCTGAACTTGGGCTCAGCCCACCACCATCAGCCATTCCCTGAAAAACAGTGCTTTCCAAAACAGTTTTTTTCCATTTGAATATGGAAATAGGAATGACTGAGAGTCTATCTGCATCAGCTCCTTTCCCTTGACACATACAACAGTTCAGGGGCATTCACTCAATAGCCAGGACATTTCTTTGTCTCTTTTGTAAAAACCAGCCTCAGGGCTGAACTCAGAAAGACAGGGAGGTGCTCCCTAACCAGCCAGTGGAATTTTTACACCCTACCTTCTTTTGCAAGCTGCAGCAAATAGCTTCCAAGGTCATTGACACTGTGGCTGGCAAAGTAGTCGTAATACTGAAAGACAGTGATGGTCTCGGAGGACATGCTGGAGTAGAGGACAGGCTCCGTCCGGTCCAGGATCTGAGACACCAGGATCCTGAATACTGCAGGCAGCCATGGACAAAGGGACAGGTTAGTGAGGGCAAAAGCTGCTGGCAAAATTATGCAGTCCACTTCAAAACTGGAAAGAAAGAACCTCATCTGCAAGGCCAGGTACTTCCCAATGTTTCTAAACTCAGCTGTGGTTAGGTTAGAAGCTGGACAGGCCTTCTCCCTGTCTGGGTCTCATTGTCAGAGAATATCTTTGTAAGGATGAACCTCTGCCAGTTTATAGATGACTAGTACATCTTCCTGTGCAATCAACAGAGCATCATTTCTGCCTAAACAATATCCTGAATTGTAAACCCCTCTCCATATGCACTGCCTGCTATATCCCCACAGTGCCACTGAGGCAGGATTTGGCTTTGCTATTTTTCATGTTCCTGCAGTAGTGTGGCATGCAGAAAGCTAGTCTGAGGCACTGCCTGTGAGAGCTGTACCATGGAGCAGGAAGGAGAACACTGCCCTGTGCAGGCATCCACAGTGCAGGTGGCCACACCTGGGCAAATCAGCCTCCATCCCCATTCTGTCCAAGGGAGAGCTAGTCAGTATTGCTGGAGTTTGAGATGTGCTACATCCCATGCAAGATAAAAACCTGTGCTCAGACAAACTCACTTGAATGTGGATTAGTTTCATTCCAGTGCACTGTAATGGGGTGTGGGAATTATACAAACATACAAAATTAAGTGCAAGGGTTCCTGATTCACTGAATCACTTACAAATCTATATTTGGCAATAGACTTTCTTTCTGGTTAGCTCATAAACCTTAAAATAGTATTTTATTTTCTGTCAACCTCACCTTTTTTTTTTTTTTTTTTTTTTTTTTTTTTTTTTTTTTTTTTTTTTTTTTTTTTTTTTTTTTTTTTTTTTTTTTTTTTTTTTTTTTTNTTTTTTTTTTTTTTTTTTTTTTTTTTTTTTTTTTTTCATTATTTGAGGCCAAAAGTGTTTGAAGAGTTATAGCATTAGTTTTCAGCTGAGATCTTGGAACCGTGGCCAAACAGATCTCCAAGGGGTTGGAAAACAAAGCTCACTACACAACTGTTATCCATTTTGATGGCTGCCACATTTTTTTTCTCAGAAGTTTGTACCTGTTTCTGCAAGTCCTGGACACTCCTCATTCACAGTGGTGGCAAAATTGATATCCAACTGTTTCATCATCTTGTCTGCAGAGGTGTGATACACTCCTGAAGGGCCAGTACACTTCATCCAGAAAGCCAGCAGTGACAGCTTCTTGTGGAACTCTGGAATTGCTGAGGAAGACAAAATGAATGGTGAAACAAAGCCATGCTGGAAGTATCAGTTTTGAAAAGAAGGTAAGAATGGGTCTCAGGGAGACCTAGCAAACATCTCACCCTATCCTGTTTGCTGGGTCTCCCTGAGCCATTACCTTCACCCCAGGTTTGTAACATGTTTTTTCTGTTTCCCATGGTAATGTGAGAAAATTTACTCCTGATCCAGTTCTCAGCATCGATGCCTCTTCCTTTTAAATAGCACAAAATACTAGGGGAGCAGCACAAATGGTCTGCACAAGTTTGGTCCCTGTCCTAGCACTACACTTTGACTTCAAGTAAGTCATTCAATTTTTGCCTCAACTTTCTGATATAGTAAATACAGCTTGTAGTATTTACCTATCCTGCCAGAGTGTACATGAGGGTAACTATGTATTTGTCAAACTCTTCCAAGTATTAAAACAGATGCTAAAAGAAAAATAACTAAGAAGTTCTCCATAGAGATGAATAAAAATGAAATGTTCAAGAAGTTGTATTATGCCTCTGATATTGTAATGTAAATCCTGCCTTTCCTCAGAAAAGAAAGGTGGAAGAATAATTTGCGTCTTCAGAGGTGGAAGTATCCCCACTCCATAACACCAATGACATCTGTCCATCTTCTGCACATCAAGCTGTGTAAGATGTCCTTTCTCTTCTCACCTGCATATTTCTGGATACCGGTGCTGAGGACAGATGTAGGTGACACCTGCCTTGACTGCTGCACCTTCTGGTGACCCTGAGCCAGCCCTCACTACAGTGGCCTCTCCTGCACTGCTGGTGAGATCTGCACAGCAATTATTTCAGCAGACACACATGTCCAGGCAAATCCTTGTCAGAAGGAAAGCTGTTTCTTACCATCAGTAAGAGAGGTGATATTTCCCAAGTTCTCAGTGCTGATCTCCGCAATATTCTCCATCACAAGGATCTGCCTGGACAGTTTATCCAGAAGGTCTCTTGTCACAAATGGTGTTTTACTGGAGAACACAATTTGCTGGTGAAGACAAATGGGAAGAGAAAAAAAGGAGTCATTGAACCAAAAAGAAATCCAGCCTCACACAAAAAAAAAGAAAACAACCCCAAAAAAACCAACTCCAAAACACCTGAGGTGCAATGACAAATTTCATTGCCTCAAACCACAGGATCTCCTTAACTTAAAGAATTTTTTTGTTGTTGGATATTTTTTGGTCCTAGTTGATAAGCATCATTGCTTGTACCTTCAATATCTACATCCCTATCCAGACACCTGAGTATCCAAGTAACCATTTGTAAATCAGAAAAGTAATTTCTGATTTACACACTCCACAAAGCTAAAGAAACCCATCACCACAAGATTTAAAGCCAGGCAAGAATATTGGTCTGGCTTTCACACAACATGGGCCATAGACTTTGAGGACAACCCTGCATAAAGAAAGACCACATGTTGCTCTTTCTCCACTCCATTTCAGCTTTGATCAATTACTTTGGTGCCTTTATTAATTTTATTAATTAATTAATCCTTGCTAATACTCCCTACTGCTGATATCTGTATATTCTTCAGCAGTCTACATAAATAATGTTCATATCAAATCTGTTTTGTGTGTGGATATGGTTCAAGTTTACCTCGCTCAGCTGCATATTTACTGTATACTCTTATATTGAAACCAAAAAAATCTCCCTTTTTCTCATAGTTGTGAGTCAGCAGAGTTTTCAGCTCAGCACAAAGGGTGCTGGAATCAGGCTCACGCTCTATGGCTTCAATGAGCCTTTGGGAAAATAAAGCTAATTATATCTAAGATGGAAGAGTAAAATAATTGTGAAGAGGAAGTTGCAGCATGTTTTGATTTGTCAGGAAAACCCTGATGACCTCACTTACTGGATGTTTAAATTCACATTTGCTGTGCATGGGCTCTGGAAAAAAAAAAAAACTACAGAAAAAACCCTCTAGTTGTGAGCATGAACTGACAATTTTGATGCCCCAGGGGGGCTGTCTCATGCTGCCTTCACTGTGCCTGTTGCAGACAGAGTCTCTGCCCCACATGCAAAAATTCATCTCTGCTCTTGAATCTGCAGGCTCATCTGGGGCTCTGTTAAGCAGGGAGACAGGGTTCCTGTTTTACCTCTGAAGACACAGGCTGCTTTAACTGGGAACTGACTCCCCTGAGGACACCCCAGCAAAGCCAGCAGGAGTTTGTAACCCAGAGCAGGGGATGCCCCTGTGTCCCACTGCCCTGCTCCTCAGCCCTCCTGGGCAGCTTGTGCCAAGCATCCCATAGTTCCCATGTCAGGTCTGCTCCAAAACAGACCAGGATGGAAACGATGGAGGCACCTCTGGCTGGGGTCAGGGTGCCACCACCCAACTCCAGCATGGTGTCTGTCCCAGCCCTGCGCTCCCAGTGCCTCGCAGGAGCAGGGCTGACCCTGCCAGCCTGCTCGTACCCATGCTGCAGGCAGGAATGATTTTAGAATAAATGCCACAAATGAGGCTGGGCTGGTACCTGAATGAGCTGGGTGCAATACTGCAAGTGCTTAACTATGGTTATATCGAGGCTGTCGTTGCCTGTGGTCAGGGGCAGAGGGCTGCCAGCCACGCTGGTGCCCACGCCCGTGTCCTCGGTGAGAGCTTCGCTCAGGTGGCCTCTGGCTTCTGGGTGTTCTGTCCTGTAACTGGGGAGGAGGCAGGGAGGAGGAGGTCAGTGCAGGGCCAACAGCTGCCACAACAGACACACACCCACACCCACTAACCCACTCACACACAAGTGATGAGCAAAGAGCACGGCAGAAGAGCTGAAAGCGCACAGAAACCTGGTGATGGGCACATCATATCACACAGGAGCAGGGCTGCCCTGCCTGGGTACAGGAGGGACATGCCCATCTAGGGGACAGATCTGTCCCCTCACTGGCCTGCCTTGAGTGATGTGATGCCCTCAACAGCAAGATTTGTCGTGGTTAGTTCCCTTGGTGGTGACAGCTTTCTTCCATCTGTGATGAATCACCTGCCCAGTCACTCTGGATTAAGAACCATGACAATTTGTACCTTCCCAAGCACTGAGCTGCTAGAACAGCTCTGTGCTTTCAGAGTCCTCCTGCTGTCAAATTTAAGGCTCATTGCAGAAGGAAAGGAAAACCACTGCTGAATTAAGAGACATGATGTTTTCATATGCAGTTTTAGACACAATGTGTACAGCTTACTTTGCCAATAGTTTCTGCAAGTGTAGAGCTAGTCTTACTGGGTTTATTATTTCCAATATTGTCTTGCTGCACAAATGATCCTCCCTGTGTTTAAATGCAAAGCCTGAGGTCAGTCCCCAGATGGCAAGTGTGTTTGGCTGCAAGTTCAGAAGTTTCAACACTTGCAATCTTTACACTGAGTCACACACTTACATATCTAAAAATGGAAGTGGGAATCTGCACTGTCTGGGGATGAGCCAGAGGGGGAAAAAAGCAATTTTAATTTCTATTTTAACTGGTTGAAGCTAGATCCTTAAATCAGCACAGACTGGACTGAGGTCAGAGTGCCAGTTTAGCAAACAACACAATTTCCCAATTTTTTTTTCCCACCAAGTCTTATTCTCGAATGAGGACATGAGATGATGGGAACTGCACGGTGGTTGCTCGTTGCACTCAAATTGCTTTAAGCAAGCTATGAGTAGTATAGCTCCCTGGTTGGAAAGCACAGGCAGGGAGGGAAGGGTGTTCCTTCCTTTTTTTCCAGCTCTAGTGCCGCTTACGTGCCTGCTGGGCATCGTGTCAGCTCAAAGAAGGCAAACATGCTTTTAAGATCTAATGATTGAAGCACAGCATCTTAAAGTCACACAACAATGGCAGGCCACGGCACAACACCACAGCTTTTTTGTTTTCCATTTTTTTTCTTTTTTTTTTTTTTCCCCTCAGAAAGACCAAAAGTGATGAAAGAAGGGCAGGTAACACGCAGGGCCATGAACAGAGTACCAATCACCACTCTTACATTCCAAAGGCAACCTACATCATGCTGCTTAAATCTGGCCCTGTGTTATTGTTACTGACAAGCTTAATCCACTGCAAAGACTCATTCGGCTAGAGAGAAAAGACAAAGGGAGGGGGGAAAAACCACAGAGGAATTAGTAATTACATCCAAGGAAAGCCAGGTCCAAACCTATGTCAAGGAAGAGGCTCTGCCAGTATTGGTGTCAGCCTAATTTAATTTTTACCCTTCTCCTTTGGAGGACAGATTGCATATATTTGAACAGAGAAAAAAAAAACGGTCCTGGAAACTAAAGATTTTGTATGCAGCAGCCATGGGGAGCCCTCTGACCCTAAAACTCATCAAGGATTAGTCAGTCTTCCTTGAATAAATTGTGCACCAGGATCCCCTGTTAGTGACAAAGAGCCAGGGTGTCAGTTTGGCGTAAGCACAGCTGGCAGGTACTACAAACTTACCTATTCTTCTCAATCTCAGTATCTGAAAATACTGAGTCTGCACCTCCTCCACCATTACAAACCTCCACACCACCACCATCCTCATCATCAAAGTCAGAGGTGTTCAGGAAATCAAAGCTTTCTAAAGCACTTTCAACTGTTAGACTTAAACTGGAGGACCTGCTTCGGCTTACTGCTGGCTTGCACTGCAAAGGCAGAACGAACCAATGAAAACCCCAGATATTAGCTACTATAAGAAAGATAAGAAAAAAAAAATGATAAAGCTTAAAACTTCAAATTCTTAATTTTATTTTTAAAACTTCATTTTATTGGGTGTTTCATTTCAAGCCTTCATATTCATAGCATATACAATCAAAGCCTGAGAACTGGGGAAAAGCCTTTTATTCCTGCTCCCTTCCTCATGCTACCCACTCTCTTCCCCAGAGAAAAACCCTCAAAGGCAAAATTCAACACATTTTATAGAAATGAGAAGAATCCCAGTTTCGCAGCTCTCGGCATTTTCCAAAATGAATGATGGGAATTAATGCAATGGAAGTTGAAAGGGGAAGGCACATTCCTTAATTGCTGTGCTAGCTACAGAAGCCAATTTATACATATCCAATGGCACTACCTGATTTATTCCAGACGTTACTCTAACAGACCTTAGCCAGGAATGAATTTCATCCCATAGCTGCACATTTATTAACGGAATGAGAGGAGTTTTGTGGCCTTTGAAGCCAAATGGATTATCAAGGAAAAGCCAATAAGGCATCAGATTCCTCAGTGACAGAGAAAGGCAGTATTGTAACTCAGATATTAACAGTGCTAGCGAGAGGGGGGAAACTATCCCCACCTCACTGCAGGGAAGAAATGCAAAGGAAACTTTGCTGTTGCTGTAGGAAGTATTAAATACTCTGGCCCCATGTGGAAATTGATCCACGTGTCCACAGAATTGCTTCCAGGGTCATTCTGAAGGATCAGATGTAACTTGAGGAATCATCTCCAGTGGTTGGCGCAATGACTTCAGCATCTTTCACACCATGTGAATATTTGATCAGAAACAGTCATGAGCCACTGGTGCCATTACACAGGCCATATCCTCCAGTCCCAAGCAGGAGCCATGACTTTGTCTCAGCTCACAGAAAAATGCATTGGCCTCTGAGGAGTTCAGATCCAGCACCAGCTGCTCTAGAGCTGAAAGGAGCTGGAGTTCTGTTTGTAATTTGTTTGCACACAATATTAATGGTCACACATTTGCACTTAGGATGTTTGAGTCCTTAAACTGACTGTACAGTCAACAGCTGATCAAACACACTTCCCAACACATCTGTGACAAGGATGAGCTGTATCCTTCTTCTTGTGCAGCACAAATGGATTCAGCCTACATTTCCTTCAGAGCTTGGTAGTGTAGCTTCTTCAAGCAAACGCAAACAGCAACATGTGGGCCATTTTCTCTGCTCATCCAATATGGCCAAGAAAGATTTCTTCATCCACAGCTGGATTCCAGCTCAACCCTTCTGCATGAGGAGCCCATGCAGCCCTTTTTTGCATGGTTGCTAGTGATGCTGAGTGCCAGTATGCAAACTGATCAATAGGTGACATCCAGACTTCAACAGATCTGAAGAGGTGTCCATCTCAAGTGTGCAGGAATCCTGCCTGCACACGTCCATCCTCTCAGCCCCCATCCCATGTCTGTCTGTTTGTAACTTCTGATCAAAGCAGCCTAAATAAACAGTGTCTATTGTCTTTCTGCCCTTTGGATAGTTGGCCTCTTGTACCAAGTTAGAAAATAATAGTAATGATACCTTTGCCTGTTTGAACCTCTCTAGGAATAAATAATGCAAGGAATGGGGGCTGCAGGCTGTCAAAAAAAGCACTTAACTTGGGAAAGTACCATGCAATGGAAATAAGGAGGTTAACAAAGTTTCTTTGTAAAAAGATAATGCAGAAGAGTAAATAATTCCCTGCTTCCTCCTCAGCCAAGTTTTTTGAATTATGAGGCTTAAATGACCAGCAGACCAACTTGCATATGAATATGAAGCATTTGAAATGATTATTTCCCATACAATATTGTTTGCAGAGTAATGTGTCATGAATTGTTATTCATTGGGGGGGGGGATACTAGTAACAGTGACCCACAGTAAACATAGTAACAACATACATGCAAACCCCCTTTCTTCTAATTTTTAATATTATCCTCTGCATCTTGATGTAATGACAGGATGTCTCTCATTATGAAAATGGATGAGGGAAAAAGGAAAAGACCATGCCTAGATGACATGGGGACTTCAGTGACACTTGTGCTTCTAAATCCCTTTGGCCATTTAGAAAATTCAGCTTCTATGGCTACAAAGTCTGATCCTCAGCTAGTGTCGTTTTGCACAGCTCTATGGAGTTCAGGGGCAGCATGCTAAAGTACACCCATTGAGGATGTGACTCACAGATTTCAAAGGCAGAAGTTTGCCTATATTTGATCCCCAGTATGGCACGAACAATGGGTTCACAAGAGGTGATTCACAATGGTTCACAAAGCGTTCAGAGAAGGGTATAATTTAATTACCCTTCTGTCATAGCACCTTTTTCTCTTTCCCCCAGGTTTTGATAAAAGATCTGTTGCTTGAGGACACAAGGCTATGATAAGCACATTGCTGACAAAAGTTTAAAAATGCAACATTGTCAAAGGATGCTCCAAGCAGGAGCAAATCTACTGCTACCAGGGAAGTTTACAATTCTCCAGAAAGCTTACTTTGATGTTTGCGAGGCAGGCAAGGACATTCTACCTGCTCAGATTTTCTTTAGGGTAGCATTTTCTGAAAATGTACTCACTTTTAGGATGTCATCTAGATGCATCACTTCTTGATCCAGGTCCTGAAACTCTTTATACTGCTCTTTATGTGGCTCAAGAGCTAAGAGAAGCCCTTGCAAGGCTTCCTCAATGCTTCCATCGAGATAAGACTTATATCCTTCTGATTCCCCACTAATGGATCCCTCACACGGCAGCCTCTCTGGGGTCAGAGGTGTCTCTGCTGATGTAAGCCTTTTGACCAGCTGCTTTGTGATGTTGCCCTCATAGGTATCCAGCTCCACAGGCTTGAGTTCTGAACCTTCATCCGTGTCCTGCAGGAGAGACACCGGGACACTCGTTTCTACAAAGACACGATCGCTCCCAGCATCAGAGATCTTTTGGCAAACTTCAGGAGCCGCCCTCGGGGTGTTCTTGTTCTCAGCCCCCGCTCCCTCTCCGTGGGACAGCAGGTCCTTTGGCTCAGCAACAGAGTCTCTGCGGGAGTCGCTGCTGCTACAGTCCAGGCTTGAGCTCTGGGAGGACTCCAGGGCTCGGTGCTGGGTGGGGGTCGCAGTGATGTCGGGGCTGGAGCTGACATGAGCAGACGAGGACTCTGCTGAGTTGGCGGGGGGCACGGCGGCTTCGTAAGGCAGGTCACCAAAAGTGAAGGAGAGAGGCCGCTTCTCAGTGGCCGCTGTCCCATTTTCAAAGACATCATCTGGCAAATTTGACTGAAAAGATAATAGGGAGAAAATGTTTTTCATGCAGCATGGGAAAGAGGAAAAAAATAACAGCATGTGCCCAGGAAAGAAAAAGGCGAGGAAAAAGATTAAAGAAGCATTCAAGACTTGAGAGATGGAAAAAATATTTCAAATCAAACTTCCACTTTCATCTGGCACAGCTCCTCAATTTCACCATGAAAACTTCTGGAAAACCTGGGCTCTGCATGTCCCTGCTAAATAGAAAGCTCTAGGAAATTATCTCCAGAGAGAGTCATGAATTCTGTTCACCCTACCATGTTCTAGTGCTCACCCTACTCTGTTGTCTCAAACAGCATTTCCAGTGCACTGCTCTAATTCCTGTACCTTGTCTCTTTTTAATGGAATTGTACATAAGCCACCTTGTCTGCATTTTCCTACTCATTACAGACTTCTGTTCTACTTATTTTCTGACTTCTAAAGTAGCAATCGTAAAATGTAACACAGTTTGCTCCAAAAGTTTCTCTAGTGTCATGGTGGTTAAGGAGTGATAGTACTGTGCCATTTATTTTTATTCAATGTCCTGCATTTGGCATGGATGTCTGTAACAATTGTTGACCTAGAACTATATCCTGTCCAGCATGAGTTTCTGCTGAAATGAGTCAGCAAAATGGGTGGTGTATTGAGCAGGACACGGATCATTTAAGAAGCAAAACCAACCTATGCAGACCCCAGACTTATCAGGGCAGATATATATATATGTTCATCTCTGACTGACATGTGGGGAAAAATCTCTATAGGAGTCACAACCTGCCTATCTAACCTACAGACCTTGCTTTGTTATGTGGCCAGCTCACAGAAATGCATGGCACAGATGGAAGGCAACTACTATTTTGCTGACAATTTGCTGGAAAGAACTGTAGGCATCCACATGTTGTTAAGCTTAAGGTTTAATAGTACAAAACCTGAATTTTTTTTTCTAGTACTATTAGCAGCTTTTTCTCCCTAGACATAATCATAGTCAAAGGTTTATTTCTTCTCTCCCTGGACATGGGTATGCTTTTAGTTTTTAAAAGTAAGTGCTTTCAGTATGCTTTTAGTAACTGAAAGTCATGTTACTAGGCAAATGTAGAGCATCAATCAGTGTAGCAGGTAATTTTTAAGAACACTGTTGGCATGTACTCCTGCCCTGCTCTCTGCCCACAGATAGTTGACTTGTGATCATTATCTCTGTAGAAACCAAGAGGAATTTTGATTTAATGCAAGCTGCATGGGCTCACAGTTATGTCCTGCCCTCTAATCAGTCAGCAAAATGAGCGAGTTGCAAGAGAGAGCAACACATGAAAAGCATGCGTGGGAATGGAAATGCCACACGGGAACTGAAAAAATCCTTCACCAAACAAAAACCAAGACTCACATATAGCTCTAGCCCTGCTTTTGGGCTTAGCCTGAGCGATGGCAGGTCACTAAAAGAGCGACTGCGACGAAGCTTGTCAAAGAAAGTGTCTTGAAGAGCATCTAAGATTGTCAACTTTGGCCTGTCTTGCAGGGGATGCAGCCATTTCTTCCACAGTTGAAGCAAAGAGGGTGTGAGGAAGGGCAAGTTAAATGAATGCTTTGTAGCAGAGCACTAAATTACAGGCATGGGATGTAGTTAATCTCTGTACAGATGGCCTGATTAAGCATTCAGAATTTGATTCATGCAAAATGTAGGAACACCCTGTGAATATCTTCAGTACAGGGGCAAATTTTATCACAGGATACTTAAAAATACTTGTGCTATAATGGTTGTTTAATTACTGTTGCAATATGAAAACACATTTTTTAAAGATTATTCAAGCATCACAGCAGTCAGGCAGGAAGGATAGGTATGCATTAATTGGCCACATAGTTTCAAAGATGCCAAGATCATAGTCACCTTCTTTTAGGATTAGCAGCTAGGAATGCACTTGCTTTATAAGTATTTGTAAGGGTAACCTGCTGGAACCAGGGAAAAAAAAGCTTAGACATGTAAAGCAACGAAATGTTTGCAGTGTTTGGACTGCTCTTAGGTTTCTCATTACATAAACACAAAGCCAAACAGCGCTTACAAAGAATGAGTGGTCCTTGAAGGTTGGTGTTTCAGGAGTGCCTTGGCTGTACATGGACATTCTCCTCTGGAGAGCAGATGCCTTGCTCACATTTCCTGTGGATGGGGTCAAGTCTTCAACATCAAAGGGGCTATGGATACACAAGCAAGAGGGGAGAAAATAAAAGGTTGTTAGGCTGAGCAAGAGGCACTTTCAGGTCCATAGAAAGCATTTTTGAAAGGGCTGTTTATTAGCACATCAAAACCCAGAGGTAGCAAGTTTTTAAACTGAAGTGTTTAAAGAAAATGTTGTTAATTAGACAGCAGTCTCAGAAGTGTGGTTTTCGGTTCTGATAAAAGTGTTCCCTCAGAAATTATTTATGCAGTGTAGTCTGATGTTATTCTTCTCACATGAAAAGTATTCTTGCATTTGAGTTGCCAAGTGTCACACATACTAATGAGAAAGGTGCTCAACTATTAATAGAGCTGTTGCATTATAAAGGAAACCAGGAGCTGTTATTGCTGGCTTCATGTTTATTGCATTACAAGAAACAGCACACATGATTTGTAACAAGTTAAATGCATCAGTGCTTCTTCAGAAATGACATTTACTTATTTCATAAAAATGCAGTGAGAATTTGGTTTGTATCCTTAGGCTACCAGTTCACCTATGCTGACCAATGTGAATAGAAAACACCAAGAGATTTCCCATCACTCTTCTGGTGTATGAAGTCCTTAAAAGCCAGCATTTCAAGATGGGCCAGCTCCTGAACTTTGTTATGCTAGTGTAAATCCATAAAATTATTTTTTAAAAATATCATATATATATTAAAATTATAAATAAATATAATATATACATATACATATAAGCACTCAGTTATATCCCATTTTTAAGCCCTGAAAGAAGCTTAAGGCAATTCTGAGATCTATCATCACTAAGCAGTTCCTATATCTTGTAATGCCAGTACATACCAAACTTAATTTAACAGCTGAAACTAGGCACAACCCTCTTTACCCCAGGAAAAGCAGGCAAAGTGTGGCTGACCATGAACTGTTTCTCATACACCAAACTCAGGCCACAGTTCCTTCACAATCTTCCTCAGCAGGGAAAAATATGGTGATAACAACCCACATGGATGAACCATTTTTCTTTGGTTGAAGTTTTACAGCTGATTGATCATTGATTGATTGATCGATTGACCAACTGACCAACGAGTTCTACTTACTACCAGGTGATCTCAAGGTTCAGCTTTACTGTGCCAAGATCATTAATGTCTACTGCAACCACCTGAGGCCGAGCTGCAAACAGGTCTTTTGTCTCACAGGTTACACTTCCCACGAGGATATGAGTAGCAAGCCCTTTAACTTCTGTGACCTGTAAGAGACAAGAACAGGATACTTAGGACCACAAAAGGCATTGCAATTCTTAATCCCAAGATAATAGTTTTGATTGTCTGGCCTGGTCCCCTTGCCAAAAAAGCTTCTAAAATATGATTGTCTGTTGCATTACTTAAGGAAAAAAAATTAGGGTTTGGTGGTGGTTTTGTTTTGTTTTTTTTTTAGGAAATGCATAGTTGCATATGACCATGATTCCATGTTTTCTTTATGTATTTTATAGGAGTGTCAGAAGAGGACAGACATCCTGGCTCAGACCAAGGAGCTGTCTAGTATTGTACTTGATCTCTTGCACTAATGACAACCAGAGCCCAAGGGAAGACTGAGAAGAGGGAAGCCAAAGAGTGTCTCAGCAGTTGACAAATTCCTGACTGGGAATCTCCTGATGTAACTTGCCTAATTAATAATTCCCAGAAGAGCTCTCTTCCAGGTATTTCTCTCTCGTAACTCTGAAGCCATGTAATAGTTTGCACTGAGGATAGCCTTTGGTGAGGACTTCCACAGATCTACTGTTGAGGAACCACCTCTGTGTATGTTGTTACAGCAGGAATAGAGTACTATTCATACGTAGTGATATATTTGCCTGGGAATTCAGAGTGACAGTTCTATATGCAGCTCCTACACAAACCAGCCTTTGGCTGTTTGCTTGAAAGTCAGTTTTTGAGCCTTTTATGTGAAAGTGTTTGGACAGAGTCCAAAAAGGGAAAAGAATATACACATTAACCTTAATAATACTGGGATTCTTGTGTGCTATAAAAAGGGGTTCTCTCCTAACTTTCCACCTTAAACCTGTGGGTTAGATTGAGGAGACTGATTCACCATGTGTCACAACTTGCCTTTCATTGAAAACCTACTGTTTCATGTGTCTGGGATTATTTTGGTTGTGGGTTTTGTAATCACCTGCATTTTTTTTCATAAAGTTTTTGCAGTGTCTAAGTGGGCCATTTCCCCTAAGACTTTCAGAACATTCTTCTATTTAAGCTTCCTAACCAGGGACATCTGGAATGGTTTCTAGCAGCGATTTCTAGACAGAGGCCAGAGAATGGGTATCTTTAGGTTGAAGTCTTGTTGGAAAGAAAGCATATGGACTTCCAGCCAGAAGAAAACTGTGTTTGGATGCTAGGGGCAATGGAGAGATGGAACAGTGATGGAAAGACTCCAGTTTGGGAAGAAAATCTCTCCCACAGCTCTCACAAACTGATTAATCTTGTGGTATCTAAACTGGACCACACTACAGCACTTAAGTATATGTGTCAGAAATACTAAATATGGCTCATTTCTAAAGAGTTTAATGATCTGTTTCTGTGGTTTTGCTGATAGTGCATGAGAAAGCAGGTTCTTGACTCCTGCCTTGCTTGCAGGCAAAGGAGTCGACATGCATACCTTAATGGAGATCAGTCCAACAATGAGAGGGAGGAAAACCATCTCTTCTCCATCCCAGCTTTGCTTGCCATTCACTTCTATCTTGCCTTTCAGTTTCCAGCGCTGGCGACCGTAACGCATGAAAATCTAAAAAAAAAAAAGTCCTTATTTTCTTGAGAAATCTGCTTTCACGATGTACAAATATCAGAAACAGAACTGGGCAAAGGGTCTGAGAAAGGTTGAAAGAGTTAGGTGGTGTAGGTGCTTCTCTTCCACTTCCCATCGAGTCAGAAGGAAAATTCAACTGGAGGATCTCTATCTCTCAGCTCTCCTAATTGCTCCTCTCAGTAGTGGACCCCTCACCCAAGTTTTTAACTTCATGTATCTTGTTGACTCATAACAAAGCTGCAAGACATTTAATTCCATTTACAGGGAAAACATCAGGGCAAGGAAGATATGGGAGGGCAGGATGAAAGCACCCGTGGTCTATCCTAACACGTCCAACTTGCTGGTGAGCTTCAGCCATTCCCCATGAGAGATCTCCCCAGCTGTGAGTTTTGGTTGTCTGATGGAAATGAACGCCATCCATAGTGCAGTAACCCAATTTGAAGCATCAAGAGCTTGAAGACCACTTTGGGCCAGCTGGACCTGCACCAACTAAATGACCCACAGAGGAAGCAGGAGTGAGAGCAGCAGGAGTCATTTGTCACAGGGAATGGGTGTGGGAACAAATGAATCTATGGTCTAGGCAGCTAGGAAGTTCTGGTTGGAGGGATCCACTATCAATCCACTACAAATTTCTTGTATGTCTGGCAGAGCTGGAGGTTTTTCTTTTAATCCACCTCTAATTAACACACTCCTGATGATCTCTACTGAAACACCGCAATGACCAGAGATCCTGACGCAGCCTCCCAGCAGGTAACACTGGGTCTTAAGCAATGGTTATTCAGTTATCCTCTCTGCCACTTAGCTCTGTGATGAAGTAGAGCCTATGCATTCAGTAAAGGGTGCTTGCAAGGATGTAAAAAGCAGCAGAGGTATGCCTTCTTTTGCTATTTAATAAACAAACTCATGCAGACATACCTCGTATTGATCACCTGGGCAGAGCCGAGCGAATCCAGCCAGACCTGAGAAAGAAAGACACAGAGAGGCTGTGGGAGGGCCTGGGCTGCCAGGTGTGGCTGAGCCCAGAAGTGGGGTGCAGTGGGGTGCCTAGGGCCACACTTGGCAAAAGAGAGCAACACTCTCCTGCAGCCCCCCAGCTGCTGTTTATATCCCCCCTCTTACTACTGCCTGTGCACCCTCCAAACCAAGACAACCCACCATCTTAATTTTCTTCTTTATTTTGTGTAAAATTCACTGGGCTGTGGTTTCTTGCACATGGAATATTTACACCTTCCAGCTTTTTTCCCTATTAGACCCTAAAGTTTCCTTTTCTATAGTAACTATAGAAAAAGGAGAAACAGCTTCCTGACATCATCTGGCTTCAGACACTCAGCTGAGAGCCCTTCCCATGGTGAGGTGTAGGCGAGCTGCTGATCCCCCTGTATGCTGCTCAGCACTGACTGACCAAGCTCCATGCTTCAACACAGATTCCTTTTTAGTACATCTTCAGGGAGACACAGCAAGCAACAGGGGCTCCTTCTGCTTGGCATTTCCATAACATTATCATTCCCATAATAGCTGAGTGTCTTTCAATAATATGTGCATCACAAAATATGACTGACATCTGTAATACCAGTTCAATAGCATTTTTTCCCCAGAGTGAGAGAAGTAGCACAGCAAAGCACTTGTGATCTATGTTTGGTTTGGGGATTTTTTTAAGGTAGGACATAACAATGCTATTTTTATATCAGCACTGTGCATATGAAATGAAGTTTCCTGAGGCTCCACACTGAAATCCAAGGGGAATTACCACCCCTCTCCTGGCCTGCTGACCTGCTTTTCTACAGGATTCCACTGGTTGTTTTTCCCACAGAGGGAGCTTCTCCTTTCTCACGGATTCCCCTCCATATGTAGCCATTGAACTTGTTTTGGTATGAAAACTTACCCAGCTTTGCCTGTGTGAGCCTAAATCTATGCCTCTAGTGTTGCAGTGCCCATAGAAACCATCTTGAGGCCACATACACATTCTGTGGCAGAGAAAGGATGCCCCAATGGAACACACAGGGGTGTGTTAAAATCACAGCAACTGTGAGGAGTGCTAGTGCTGGCTGTATTTGCAGGGATGACTTCATCCTGCTAGTTGTACTGTAGGAGCAACTCAATCCCTGCATGCAGTCATAGACTGTCACTGTGATCTGCTTATCTGTCTCTTCCACATCTTTGACCAGAAAATAGTTTTATTTGCTCATCTTAGTGTTCAGCAGAACAGAGAGGGCCTTGCACAGAGCTCATATTACCAATTCCTTTCTAATTTCTTTACTGTTTATTAATAATTTAAGATTACTAGTACTCCACCACTGCTTCTCTCTCCTGAGGCATGCTTTTATAAGTGAATTTGATCTCTCCTGAGACACATCACCATGTAAGGAAAATAAAAGGTCCCTTTTTTGCCCAGTGAATGGAGTGGTTGGGTGAGGAAACTCCAGCTAAAAACTCCATATGGATGTTTAGGTCTCTGAGCTGTTTTTTCAGCCAGGCTGGCCAAGTCTTTTCAGAATGATGAAGAGGAGGCTAAATGCAGACTTGACATAAGGCCATAAGTACTTTGACAGGAAACAAGTTTCTGCTGACTGAATGGCTTTTGAGGACTAAAAAAATGGCAGGAACCAATGGCTCCATCATACAATTTCAAACATCATGCCTTTGTTAAAGCACTGGGCCTTTAATGCAGGCAGGCCAGGAGCTTGCTTCTGGGGGGTCAGCATAAGTAATTAGGGAACAGGGCCATCACGGGGCTGTGATAAGGAGGCAGGGCCAGCTGAAGCTCATGCAGAACGTGCATGCTGGACTCCTGGCTGCTGGGGTTTGCTCTGTGTGGCAGAGCCACCGCTGTGTCAGGCCAGCGTATTGCTCTCCCTTGAGTGAAACACCTGGGCTTTTCACCTCCTGCTGCCTGCCTCTTCTAGCAGCTATAAGGGCACTTTCCTGTACATCACAACGGGACACACAGATTCCATACAGGAACTTCCACACTGGGTTTCCCTGGTAAATTTCAACAACTGATTAATCCTGACCAGTTAGCTAAGCCTGCTGGCACATTTATTATCTTGATTCTGAAAAATGATTAGGCTTTTTTTGTTTCCTATAAAAATCAGTCATAAAAGCTCTGTGCAGCTCCCCTGCTTCCTGACAGCATTGTGTAGGTTGGCTTGCTTTCAGTGTAAGTGACAGAGGGCACAAAATAAAAATAACTTTCACTGGAATGGCTAGGAACAGATAAGCTTTGGGGAGAGGAATGCTTTGATTTCAAATTAGATCCTAAAGTTAGCTGGATATGCTGCAGTATAACTTAACGGGGAAACTTGCTGTGTGATATGCAGGCTTTTTTGCCAGAGCTGCTGCAAGCCTTAGCAATAGCAGTGGCTGTATTGTCCTATAGGATTCCTATTCCTAGGGAGAAGTATCTAGATAGAAATCTCAGATGCCCTAATTAAAGAACACTTAATCTGGCATTTCTATTTGCTGTTTTCTAATTTGGGCTTCTTTACATGATGCAAACTGGATTTAGAAGCAACTGCTGCTTGTGCTCTGTGCTCTGCTGCTGCTCATGAGTGCAGTACCTGCCTTCTCCAGAGTCCTTGAATTTTGCCAGAGGATTTGGCATCCAAAGAGAAGGGGCCAGACCTCTTCAGATGAGATATTTGTGACACTTCTGCAACATGTCCCACTGCCAGGAACTGTGCACTGCACTTACAGCAAGCAAAGAAATACTCCAATGGAACTGGAAAATCCCTTTACACACTCTATGGCATTGTTTCATTCAGCACGTCCATGCTGTGGTTCTGCTGTGGGTTCCTGTACAGAAATATCTGTCTCAGTCTCTGTGTGTTCATTTAAAACCTGAGGGATGGAGCTAGGTGAACATCTGCTGCAATTTTCTATAATATGAAAGCACAGAGTAGCTATTTTAATTTAATCTAAGATTAATCTTAATCTCATGCAATGCAACCATAGGAAAAAACTGTGACAAGGCAGGCAGAACCAAAGCTTTGTATGAGATTTGTGAGCTCTCAAAACTCCACCAGCAATACTATGGATGTTTTAAATGGCAAGATATCAAGTGACGAATTAAGATTTCATTAATATTTAGATGCTGACTTTGTTTTATAGAACTATTCTCATGCCAGTGACTGAAGATCCAAAATAGATATCCCCTCCCAATCTCTTCTTTAAGACATCGAGTCTTAAAGGGATAATAGCATTAGCAATACCTGATGATCCATTGAGGCTTCAAGTAAAACTGATTCCATTGTAAACTCCCCTGTCATAAAGACAAGGAATAAAATGGAAAGGTGAATGCCATCACAGAATTATCTACAAAAACTATCCCCAGCTTTTTGCTTTTTTTACATTTGGTCAAAAATAGTATTGGTCGAAATTAGCAAAAGCAAAGGAGTTAGAAATAGCTGATGTCAAATTAAGAAGGTATTTTAAATTTCAAGTTCAGCTCCATGGCAATTCAGATACTTTCCCAGTCACCTTCTCAAAGAATTACTGAAAATAGAGGCAAAAATTACAGCAGTCTTCAAAACGAAATTGCTTTGGCTGTTGGGAGGAGTCTTTGTGGGAGGTAATTACTCCAGAAAACAAAAAGCAGAATATCAGAAAGTCTGTAAGCATTAGTGTTCCTGTTTTTGTAATCCTTCCCAGTGGGCAGGGTGTGAATTGGGAGTTTGAAGGCTCAGCAATGGGTGGGAAACCCCACCTGTCATAAATGCATATCACACAGCACGTCTCAATTCCCTCACCAATGTGTGCAGCAGCTGCTACTGTTTCTGAGAAAGAAGGGAAAGGTGAAAAGGCACTTACCTTTCATCTTGATGCAAAACTCCCCCAACAGATTTTCCAGCTCTGCCTCTATGGTACACATGTTCTGTGTAGGGAAAGAAAGCAGTGAGGGCAGACAAAACCTCTTTAGGATTTTTTTTTAAAGGTCTGCTTGTAAGGATAGATTCAAGATATTTTGCAATAACATCAATCTCAGAGCCATCCTTCTTGTTTAGCTAGGTCTGGCCCTAAAAAATGGCACCTTTGCCTGCTTTTTTGACACTTTAACCCTGTGCTTCTCTGCTGCTGCATGCTAATCCTCCTGATGGCAAAAGGGAAGCTTTTGCCCTTGGAGTATAACCTGCTCACTGTTCTGGTCCTATCCAGCCAGGACTTGTGCCAACAGCAGCAGCTCTATGCCAAAGTAGCTCCCAGCATGATTTAATCTCTCAGGAAACATCTACTACATTTAGAAAGAAGTCTGAGAGAGACTGGTATTAGACCCTCTCCACTTCTTCCTTCAGGTTCTGGAAGGTTGTCACAGCTTGTGTGCTGGGAAGTCTAAAACACTATTAGACTTGCTCATCATCTCCTGCCTGTTTAATAAAATAGATTTTGATCCCAGCAAGTACAACACACAGGATGCAGCATATGTCTGTACGCACATCATTTCTAGTCAAGCTACCATCCCTACATCTGCAGGCAGATGTAGGGATGAAGGAGGTAGTAGGAGTTTAAGTAGGTTTGAGGCAGATTTCTGCTTTTGCTTTTTTTTTTTTTTTTTCAGTTCCTAGTTCCCTGCTCTCCTAAAGTCTAACCTGTTATTTCAAGGAACTCTTTGGGCCCATGTAACCTGTCTTTGTCAGACATCAGGTATTCACCTGAAGAAAAACAAATACTAATTCTTCTTTGCTGAGTTTGGCTTTCATTTCTTCTGTCTGGATGAAACTCTCCCTGAAATTAGTGGCAAAGTTCCCATGGCTTTCAAACAGTGTGAGAGTGAAAAGAATGAACTGATGAGGATGTACCTCTGTGTACTCCTTGTAGCTCCTGTTGATTTCGGTCAAACTCTCTCGAGCTGCTTTGCTGGCAGGAGACATTGCAAAAGCTTGCTTCATTTTGCTGGCACCATCACAGAGACGTCTTTGGATGCAATAGGCTTCATAAAGCTCGTCCACCTAGTGGGAACAAGGAAAGTGTACTGAAAGAAAATCCAGAAACTCCAGCAAAATAAAGCAAACACAATGAAGTAATTTGCATTAAAAGAAAACTCAGCCAAACAATTATATCCAATGAAGGGGCTGAGGAAATGAAGCTGTGATAGTGTTACAGTCTGTGGAAAAGGAACACAAGATGAAAAAAACTTCCACTGTAAAAATCTCAATAGAGCCATAGTAGATGCCAGCAATTCACCTGCTTGCCCTGCATGCCTCTAAGCATTGCTACTCATGCTCTCCCCATCGTAACAGTGAGGCAGAAATGCATCCAGCTTCTCAAACATCTCACTGTGGAAGAGCTCTTTAAAAGGCAACTGCAAAGCCCACACTGCCAAATGCAACTGGAAGTGGTAAATGGCACATTTAACAGGGTCAGCAGTGGTTTTGGTGATATCAGTCATGGATCAAAGCTGTTGCAATATTTGACTAATAGGTAGTATTGGAAGCTGAAAGTGTTATTTTGAACTCTTACTGTCCATTCTCCAGAAACTGGGAGTCCTACTAGGAATCAGCACAAGGGCTTACAAACAGCTGATGTCAAGATAAAAAAGTATTTTGAACTTCAACCCCACCCCAGACATTTACATCTAGTCATTTTCTTACTTTCTTTTCACATAACTTAGAGACTCAACATACTGTAAGTGCTCGAGAAGTTTTGCAAAGCATAGTCTCACACAGTTTGAAGTCTCACCTGGATCTGACTTTGGAGGGGCAGTGGATTTACACACCTCACGCTTTGGTTTCCCTTTTCCCTCTAATCCCTGTACTGAATGCATACATTTACTCCAACTGAGTAATACATGCACATATACACACCAGCTATATATAGTGGTTTATATTTTTATAAACTAAATCTGTCAAATACAGAAGATGTGTGTTTTCTAACCTGACTATCAGGGTGAGGAGAAAGACAAAAATTGAAGAAGCTGTCTCTTCTTTCTGCTTCTAATATCCCTCCTAAAAAAGGATGATATTTGGGTTTACCTAAAATAACTCCATTGTTATCTCTGAAATCAAGAGGTCACTCTGTGTCCAACAGTGCTCCTGCTCAGCAATAGATTTTCATGGCATTATTTCTCTCTATGAAAGCATCCAGCACCTTGGCTTCGCCAGTCTGTGATTTTGTGTGCTATGTTAGAGATGAGCCTGATGTGACAATCCAGGCATGTTTCAAATCCTATTTTCCAAGTCTGCTTAGCATCTAACAAAAAGTGCTGTTGCTAATTTGTTTGGAATGGGACTTGTCTTCCTGATGGCTTCAAAGCCTTGGGTCAATTTTTACAAGGCTATCTTGAAAAACTGGGTGCTGAAGCCTCTGACCTGAGGACACCCTACCCAAAACAGTGAATGCTTTGCAAAGTGCAAGAGTTCGGCATAAGATCATGAAGACACAGGCATCATTTTGCCATTTTGAAGTGACAAAAAAAACTTTCTGCACTCATATTCACTCCTGTTTCCCTTGCAAGTCAGCAAGCTAAAGACAGCTGCTATAAATAGTTGTCATTTGGTATTTACTTCTGACATTGGAGTGGAGCCTTGGTCTGGGATTGATATCCTGCTCCTGCCCATGTGAGTGTGGCTAGGACATGCTCATCTGCTCCCCAAGTATGTGGGATCTGCTGTGGCACACCCCCTTTTCGTTGCTTTGCTTCCTTTACAGAGCAGTGGCAGGTAAAAGAGAGAGGGCATCTCTCTGTCCCTGATTAAATACTGCTGAAAAAACTCTTTTCTATCCTTAGAAACAAAGATGTTTCTCCACCTGCCCGAGCCTGTGGGCTTTAATGCCACACACTCTGTTCCTTTTGTCTCTGTTGCCGTGGGTTACAGAGAGTGAACTCACGTAGTTGGCAAGCCTGAGTAACACGGACCAACGTTACCCCTCACGTTTGGTGCTTTTCACTCTTATTATAAACCCAGAAACCATTAGCTCTGAGCAGGCTGAAGTGGGAAGGATTTGAATGGAAATGTTCAAGTACTTATTTTTGCCATTCATGTTGCCAGCAAGGGAGTAGGTGGCTTGGGGAACAAAATCTCAGTCTATCGCCTCATAATTTATATTTTTATTTTCAGCTCCAAGAGTAAGAGAGGACTGAAACTAAAAGGTTTGGATAGGTTGTCATAATTAGAGGACTTGAAGCTGCACAAATGCTTTTCAAATGACTCTCAAAAGACATTTCATCTGTCAAAAATAATTCATTCCTTTGTCATTTCCTCAAAAAAGCAACTAATGACTAGCAGATATGTTTATAAGTAAGGGAATACATGCCATGGATTTCATCCAGCTCTAAAACGTATTAGTGTAAATCACAAGTACCTCCACTGATATTCTCACCAATGCATTCAGGTGGATGCGGGCCCCAAACCACGCAGCAAAAGCATTAGCAGTGAAATCCAGGAATAAATCCAAACTAGCTGCTGTGTGTGCTAGAGATAACTGCTGAATTAAATTACTTTCAGATGCAACTCTCCTTCTATCTAAAGTCTGACAATAAGCATGCTGTGAGATACATCTTCCCCAGCAAGTCTCCAACCCTATGTTTTCTCTGTACCTAAAAGTATGTGGGAGTGTCTTGGGGCATGGCTGGACTTTGGGGTCTGTGTGGAAACCCTTTCTTTGGCTCCAACCACCAGCCTATCATGGAAAAAACAGCCAATCTGGGAGCAGCCTCCCCAGCACAAAGGGGCAGCAGGAGGCCAAGGGTTTGTTTCCTCAATAATATAGGAACAGATGCAGAAGAAAGATGATAGGAGAGAGCTCATTACCTTGCTAATGTGGAACTCCAGCCTTCTCATGTATCTTTCAACCGCTTTGATTTGCTGAAAGAAAGGAAAAGACAGAGGTGAGGCATCTTTAAATAAATCAGTAAGACACTGCCACGCTATCTCTGCTAGTCCCCATGGATCCAAGATACTCCTTAAACCACATAGGATTTCCTTGACCATGAATCCAGAATCAGTTGTCCCATCCTACTACTGTTAAGCTGCTGCTGACAATGAAGCACCTTCACTTCCTTTACCTAATGTGTATTTTTAGAGTTTTCATTTGATGGGATTTCTATAGGTTTTTCTAATTATTAAAAAAAAAAAAACAAAAACCAAACAAACAAAGAAAGCAGAGCTTTTTTTTAGGTTAAAAAATAATGTTTTCAGTACTTTGAGATCCCATTATTAATATTGCTCAGGTTTTGAATTTTAAGATCCACAGTCTTCCACAGCAAGCTGGTTTTGAGACTAAACCCAAGCTTGGAATTTTGACTGAAAAAAAAAAAAAAGTCAGACTTGTTCAGGAAATGTTTTTGAAAGCTTTTCTTTCACCCAAATTTTCCTGCAGGGAAAATGTATTTTCAATTTTTCTTTCTTCAAAACTGGCAGGAATGAACTGGGGCTTTACCTGGATCCCCCTCCAGCCCCCTGGTGTGCTGCTATCAGCCCCCATCTGAGTGGAGCTGGCTGAGAGAATTTGCAAAAGGGAATGGATTTAAGGGCTGTCAGCTGACAGAGAAAGGAAGTCCCTCCTCTGCTTCCTTCCTTCCTTGCCTGGCAGGGCTCTGTCTCTCTGTCTGTGCCCATCCCAGAGCCAGTCTGACCTGGCAGACCTCAGAAAAAGGGTTGGTGGGGTACATTTGATGCCAGATTAGTGAGCACACAGTGTTTGATGCTGCATTAACGGGCAATACCAGAGCCCCTGGGAAGAGGAGGGGAGTGGGACTTCTTCCTTTGAAAATGCAGGTGTTGGCATGGCTAGCAGATCCCTCTGAGAAAGGTTCCATGTTCACTGTGTGGATATTAATGCTTCCTTGCAAAATGAGTGTTCAAGGGAGTAGCATACCTTATCTAAATCATACAGGACTCCCTGCAACAGAGAACACAAAACTGATTAATTTTGCAACACAACAGCACCATGAGAAAGTAGTGTTTGACACTCAACAGAAATCACAAACAATACCATGGCTAAAAGGGAATTTGTGTCAGTGCAGATTCCCTGTATCCCACACCCATCCCTTGACTGCTCCAGCACCTCAAGAAGGCCACTGTGCATCTACACAAAGGAAAAGCATGGCACGTACCAGGCGTGAGTTTCTTTTCATGTCTTTTAACTGAGTAGTCAGCTTATCCAGCTCTGTCTGGTGAACTTCCAGATACTCACTGCAAACACAAACCAGAGAACGATGCATGAGCTCTGCAGCACATACCAAGCTGGCTGATGACCATCTCAAAAGAAAATCTGCCTGACAAATGACTTTCCTCACTGGATGTGTTTACAGACAAAAAACTCATTTACATTGATCTGTCCTCAAAGCAGCTCCCTGCTGCCTTTTTGGGAATAAATAGGAGCCCCCTTATTTAACTGTGTGGAAGAGCTCGGTGTTCTCTTTACACTGAACAACCAGTTTCAAGTAAGCTAATCTGCTGCTTAGTTTATGGGCTGGTGCCTTCCAGTCGCTATGCCTGCATTGGCTGATAAAAGCCCTGTTATCATGTGGGATGTTATCTGAAAGGCAATACAAGCCTTTGATAGGACTCTATGAAACTCAGAGGGAAAAAAAATCTGACGCTGAAATCCCAGACTTTGGGAGCTTTTCTCAAAATGTGAATGGAAATGGATTCTGCTTCCTGTATTCCTGTTTCTCAGACAAATATTTTAGATACCAAGTGTCACAATCCAGACTTCAAGAGGTGTATGTTCATCTCTTATGAGGAAGGATTCATCTTCTTGTTTCTCTAGGCTCTAAAATGTCACAGAAAGCTTCAGTTAACAAGCAGGATAAAAGCTCTTACTCCAGGCCACTCTTCAGGGCTCGGTAGACCTCTTCCATCCTTTTGGGCTGGGGTTCTTTGGGTGTGGTGCTGTTCTTATGGCCCAAATTATGCATTTTCTTCACCTTTGCTTGGGGCTTCTTGAGCGCGGAGGAATTTTCAATAAAGGAGTTACACCTGCAAAATGAACATCAAAGAGGAAGAAATCCCTATAAATCATAGAAATCTCAAAGGAGTTTAGCTTGAAGAAATCTTCTGATATTATATCTGCTTGCAAAAAATGTATCTACTTCTGTGCCTGCCAGTTAGAGGCCTGCATTTCCCTACGGGTTAAGAATCTGAGTAGCCTGGGATATGTGCTTCCCAAGACATAAACGCTTGTCTGGAAATGCAAGGCCAAAGCTGAGGCTCATCAGACATTTCTCTGTTTTGCACCATGCCTGTCCTAACTCACATCAGAGAGCCCATGAGAGAGCTGAACTACATCCAAGTGCTAAAAAGAAAGAAGAGCCAAGATAATCTCAGGTATAATGCCTGTGGGTCCTAAGGAAGATTGGGATTTGATTAAGAGAGCTTCTGGAGAACAACATCACTGGTCTTGAGTATGGAGTGCATGGCAAAGTGAGGACAGTTTTGCTGCATACAGGTGCCTCTTTGGGGATTTTGCTGCCGGGTAGGTCAACATCTAACAACCATCACTGATTTGGGCTGACAACATGAGGCCCTTTGCCTGCTGTTACTCCTCAGTTGCTAACTGGTGGTCTGGCACTGGGAGACTGCACAAGTTAAAATCAATTGTAAAGTAGCCTCTGGGAGCATCCAGGACTGCATGGCTTGGGCATGCCTGACTAAAAGCCCCAAGTCCTGTGTAGCTAAGGGGCAGTGCACAGAAAGGCTCTGCAGCCAAGCTCAGGAAAAGAGCTTTGTTTTGGATTCGTAGTGGTGCAGCAATGAGAAAACTGTCTTTTAGGCAGCAGTGGTCTTAAACAGGAGGTGATGGCAAGTGTATCATGTGCAGTGTTCCTGCATATTTCACATATTGAAAAGATCACTGCATAGATAAAATGGTTCTCTGAAATTCTCTCACAGCTCTGAGGCATGGGAGGAAGCCCTGCATTAATGGGGGAGAGGCAAACAGGCTGAGGGTAACAGCTTAGTTATATAAAAAATATATAGAGACATTTTAGCCTAGGACACTTTATCTGGTAGAGTCAGAGATAAAGAAGTCCTCTCTCATCTCCTTTTCTTCTTCACCCCCTAAAGCCCAGGACTCCCTTACAGCCTGATTTTGAAATTCCCCTTAGGGAACATGGGTACTTGCCTGGACCGTCTTTCCTGAAGCCCGCTGAAGCCAGCAAAGGACTGACTTCTAATAATCCCATTAGGACCTCCTGGGGAGAATGAATGTGATCCTATTGACATGATGTCAGGGAGCCTTGGAGATATTCCTGAAAAACAACAGAAAGCATATCAGTGAGGGTGGAATTACAGTAAAAGGCAGGCAGTGAGGCCAGACAGCCTGGTGTCCATCCGTGACATTAAGGGGTACCTGGACCCCACGAGGGGCTGCAAGCCAGGGCACAAATCTGTTTGCATTTCCAAATCATCCCCACTTAAAACCAAAACAGTCCTATTTTAACTTCTGACTTCCAGCCCAGGGTCTACTGAAAACGTACCAGCAACACGAAGAGGGTCTGGATGTGGGACTAGAAACCAGATACTTCAATGTCATAATCCCAATGCCATCCCCAATTTCTACCATGCCTGGCATGCTTCACCCCCAGCCACAGTGTCCCCATCTGTCCTGGGAATTATTATGGCAGTGTGCAGGGCCCTTAGGAAGTGCTCACTGTCACTGCAAAGTGTGATTATACACAATAATAATTTTAAAAAGGATTGATACATCATGAATGCCCTACAGCTCCACTTTGATCCTTGCTCCCATGGCTGCTCAGCCCAGGGGCTGCTGAGAAGGAAGATGCGGTGGGTGCATGTGCAGCCGTGACATGTCGTGATGAGAGGGATGCCCTCCACCGTGAAGAGAGAGGACTAAACAAGCTCCAGGCACTGTATGCTCTGCATTTCATGTGTCTGGGGGGGGCCCAGCAGGGAGGAAGCCCTTGCCCTGTGTGCTCAATTCCAGTGCCCAGCTTGGCATCTGCACTAAACTAGCATGATTTCAATCCATCCACAAATAAATAGCAGAAAAGTGCTACAGTTCACAGCAGCTCTATCTGCTGCCACAAGAGAAAAGGGGGATGCCTTTATCTTCCTTTTCTCCTTAATCCATTGTTTTTCCTGTCTCTGCCCTCGGCAAACAATTAAATTGATTTTTCTGCTGGCTTGGTTTTGTGCTACTCTGATAAGAAGAATGGCTCCACCAATTCGTGAGGAGCACCATGGTCAACACAGGCCAAGCAGCAGGGCACGGAGCAGGAGGAAAACAGGGATGTTGGAGAAGAGGGAGCTGGTCAGCAGGTACTCCCAGACACAGCTCCTCCATCCTGCAGGACACATCCTTTCATTGCCTCCATCCTTCCTGGGATGTCAGTTCAGCTGATGACACAACTGTGCTGTGAAATGGACTGAGAAACTAGGCCAGCTTAAAAATAACGTGACAGAAAATGAAAAAGAGGGGTTTTAGTCATTCTTTTCCCTCTATTTTAAAAGCTGGACTCAGCCTGCCCCGTGGCCCCAGTTCATTTCACTCCAGTAGCCGAGCTTGGTAATGAAGCAGGATGGTATGGCAGGGGCTGGAGCTGCCTGCAGGCAGTGCAGCTCATGTTCTGTGAGACTCTGACAACTCTGACCTACAGGGCTGAGAGGGTGACAGCAAGTCTAAACCGCCCTCTCATCCCCACAGATCAGGAATGATTGCGAGTGCCCAATAAAGCAGCCATTTGTGAAAGCCAGAGATCTACACTGTGAGCCTTCACAACTGAACACATTTATTAATGATAAGCAACAGAGCTACATGGTGCTTGCATGGCAAACATTCACTGCAGAAAGCAAATATGTGGGGAAACATTGTGCACTGCTGAGTTATATTTAATTTGGAGCGTTAAGCTGGGCAAATACTCTTTGGGGTGGCAGTAGGTGCCATGGCGAACTACTTTTTCTCTTTGGAGGAGACTGCATTGCCCAAGGAGCAGCTTTGTCAGGAATATTTCTGCAAGAACTCTGCCAGAAACACTTCTTTCAGTCTCAGCATTGCCAGCACTACTGCTGATGAGACATTTTCTCTATTACACGACCCAGAGTACATCTTCCTCTTTTGGAAGTGAGGGCTGTCCCCTTGACTGAACAGCCTCAGAGATACCACAAGGGGTGCAGTCAAAGACAGTTTTCTCCTTTCCGGTGGTAATGGTACTTGACCATTCGTGTCCCAGCCTAGCCCAGATGCAGCCCACCCAGCTCAGGGCTCAGAGAGTTTAACCACAGCAAGGATAAACCCCTGGGACAGAGAAGTTGCTCTCAGGCAGACCAGGGCCATGAGCACCTGTATTAGGCAGAAACCCACAGACAGAGGAGAGCGTGGAGGAACAGAGAGGCTCTGGAGCAGCTACTCCTCACAAACTCAGAAGATACCACAGTGAGGATGCACTTTGGCTAACTCACACAGGGATAAACATGCTCCAGGCACAGCTGGAGATACTTGAGTCTTTGGTCAATGAGAGCCCAAATTTGACTCTGTACTCACCCCTACATCCACAAGGCTCTCTGCACACCTCTGCAGGGCTGAGCTGTGCTCAGGCTTGCTGATACCTGGCACAGCACTTGCCAGAAGGCATTTTTCAGCTTCCAGGGTCAAACCTCACATCCCTATAGATGGTACAGAGTTTCCCTGTGCCAGCTTATCTCTAACAGTTCAAACTCCACAGAGAGCCACCTCCTGCGAGACAGAGCGGAAACCACCTGACCACAGTACTCTGGGGTCTGCACAGCAAGTTCCCTTTGGGTTTGCAAATAACCTTCAGACAATTAGGCTGCAATCTGCATGCTCCCATACAAGGATTTGCATTAAAAATCTGGTCCAGAGTGCCAAGGAGCAGAAATAAAATCCCTTGCAAGTGTTCAGTACATGCATGGCTTGACAGGATCATTAACACACACACCCTGACAACATCTGGAGACCTAGGAGGAGCTAAACAACATTGACAGTCAGAGGAGATTTAGCTGCATAAACATCAACCATTCCTCAAAAAATAAGAGAGATAAAGCAAAACTTGAAATGGGGTGCTAATCACAACCACGCTGGCTATGAAAAGGGCTTTAGATTCAAAACTGTTGTGAAAACCCTAGCATCTTCTGCATGATGTCTCTTCTCTATTAATATGAATGGAATACAAATGGCTTTCACTCTGAACAGGATCTTAGTGTGCAAATCTGACTGTGCAGAAATACTGGAATTGTTTTGATTTTCTTTTCCTTTGAGCTAACTTAAAAAATAAATAATCTTGGAAAAGGAATGTACTTATTTATTTTCTTTATTTTGCTCAAGCATTCAGATGGCTTTGAAAGGCATTAGTAGCTGAGACTTTCCCCAAGATACCAGAAAAAATGTGCAAGAAGTGGAATTGAAATGCAAATTGAAGACCTGCCTGGAGCTACTTTTGCTTTGCTTTTGCATAAAATGGTCAGAACTCAGAGCCCAGATAGGCTTGTGGCCTCTCCCTACATATTATATATAATCTTGGTGAATAATGTATGTTTAATTTCTGTACAGAAGAAAACTGAGATAAAAGGAGGTAGCAGTAGGAACTGGTGAAATATCCCAGCTCTGTTCAGTTATTTTCCATTGGTCAGGTTAAAGGTTGACTCTATTGTACCAACACCATCTGTTCTTAAGATTTAAACTAATATTCATAATATGACATCTCAGATATTTCCAATCAACCTCAGAAAATTGCAGACTCTGTATCAGTTCCTTGGCCCAAATTCACAGAGACAATGGCTGCAATATGGGTATTGCATCCATGGATTATTATGATACCCATCTCACAAATACACTTTGAGTGATGAGTATCTCTCATGTTGTTGTCACATCCTCTGTTGAGAGGGATTTATTTTCCTGCCTCTTAAACCATTCACAGGTCTCTCTGCTATCAACTACATAAACCTACCTCTGAATTTAATAATCCAGTAGTATCCTGATGATGTGAATGGATGCAGTTGCTATGTAATTTCAGCAAAGCTCAGCCCCTGAGGATTCACCCAGATCTCTTACTGACCTGACGGGTATCCCCACAGCTGAACAGCGCTAAGGGCATTCTGGTGCTACACCAAAGGAGTGATCAAGTTTCTCAGTCTACATTTAACAGTTATGTGATATAATACTACTGTCTTCTACATGCAGTATAAATTTTGCTCTCAATATAATGCAAGTTGCACATCTAAAATTATATTAAATGCTTCTGTGGTTTGAGAGATCCACTTCAGCAGTGGACATAATGACTATGCTTACACTTTTAAATCTATATAGTTAATGAACCAGGGATGTTCCATTTTAAAGACACCAGTCTCCTTACTGCTAATATAAGCATGCCCTGTGTAGAAATATAATTAATATAATTAGTACTGCCCATGCTAAGTGCACAGCAGTTGAATGATGAGCCCATCAGTAAATCAAGGGATAAGGTGAAATTCTATCAGTACTCCTCTGCCCTATTCGCTGACAGCTTGCAGCAGAGAATGGCAGATAATTGATGATGTCTCTGTCCCCAGGGAAATAAAAGTCTCCCCTCTCAGCTCTTCTTTCAGTCTGGAAATGGGGAAACAGCTGAGCCTGAGCTAATGAGTGGGGAAGGGACAATCACTTCCACAGGGCTGCCCTCTCTTCATCACCCTCAGCACAGACCTCTACCTCCCACAGTGCCAAAATATTTGATAAACAGTGCTTGATTGAGCTAAGAGGGGAAATTTAGGCAGAAACACATTTGCTAAATCTAATCTAACTTTTGCACAGCCTTTTTTTTTTTTTTTTTTTTTTTTTTTTCCCCATGACCAGTTTGGAGATGGCATGTTTTGCCCACCACATGACAGGGGCAAGTTGGTTTTGCTAGACATGTGCTAACAACCGTGTAAAGCTGCAATATACAGTGGTGATGGTGCCCTTGATTCTTCCTGTTTTCTCCTTGTAGCAGCTACAGTTATGGCTCCAGGTCTAGAATCTGCTGTAAGGTGTAAGGCAGCTGGCTGCAGCTGAGGCTTCGAGGACACTTCAGGATCATGTATAATTGCCAATTAAATGGGACAGGACTGAGTGACTGAAAGCATCCTTGATCATCCTTTCTTCCTATATTATTTTCTTTTGTGACACATGGTTCAAGGTTCATTCTGGATCTCAGGAGAGGTAATCCCTGCAGTGAGATAGTTTGTATGTTGATATATGATGGTCTGCAGGCTGCCTGTTAAAAATCAAGTGATAATTATTTAGATTAAGGTGAAC